GTTTGTATTTGAGTCTTCGCGTATTGTTTGCATGACTCTTTCCTGAGTTTTCGGTTCAAGCTCTTCAAATATAGCTTGTCCATATGGAATAAACTTGTTTCCAAATATATGTTTTTGTAGCCATTCTGGTTTTCTTTCCATGTTACCAACAATATCTTTTGTGAATGGGAAAGCTTTTACCCAACGTTTCAGTCTTGCGTCATTTATTTCTGTAGTTGGTTTTATTTTGTCAAGGAACATGTTTTTCAATACTAACATTTCATTTGGTACTGTCCATTTGAGTTTTCTTAAATATTCATCCCTTCTCAGTTCATCGTCTGCAAAGTAAGTTTTTATGACATTTTGTAAACTTTCGTTTGCAAGGTCATGTACAATAGGTTCTCTTCCTTCTCTCTCCCTAACTCTCTTTCTAAACTCTTCACCAAATATACCATCTCTATGGTTCTGTGTAGTTCTTTGAGATAAATGTTCTAGAACGTCAGGTGTTATATTTCCATCAGCCATGTTCATTTCATACTGGTTCAAAATATCTGCATCTTTCATATCTTTCAATGGCATTAAAGCCGCGCTGAAAATACCAGCTAAATCTGGTTCACCATTCACTTCCATTGCGTCTACAACTTCTTGGAATTGTGGTTGTAAGTTTATGAACCACCTATCCGGGTTAGCTTTATGACCCCATCTCATTGTAGTTCCATAGTCTGCAGAAACAAAAGTAGGTTTGTTTCCATATTGGTTAGGTTCTGAATGAACTTTAAACAATGTTTCATTTCTATATGTTTTGTCGAAATTTAACCTTTTATTTTCACCGAGTTCAGCCAAAGATTGAACGTTATATGGTCGTAAGTAAAAAGGGTTATTGTATTTGTGTACATTTTCTTTCAGTACTTCCATTCTATGCTGAATATTTTCATCTGGTGTTGGAGTCTTTTGTATGTCGGCAAACATTTTTCGATATTCTTCTACTCTGTCAGCCGAATTTTTCTTAAACTCTTGGAAAGATTCCATATTCACCTCATACTCTTGTTGAGGGTCAAGATTTTTCGGCTGTTCCAAATCTTCATCTGGTTCTGTGAAGTTAGTTTCCAAAGGAGGGACTTGTTCGTTTCCTTCAGGCTCTTCTAGCTGTTGTTGCTGAACTATTTCTTCCATGTCTGGTTGTATCTGAACTTCTTCCTGTGGAGTTTCTTGTACCTCATCTGCTGGCATTTCATATATTCCGAGACGTTTTTAACAAGTTCCCTATTTAAGTCATCCGCATTCATAACCCTTTCTTCTTTCGTTCCGTCTTTATTTTTTACGCGTTTCATGAAGATAGTTGAATTGTCATTTATCTCTGACACCAAATATCTCGGAGTAAATTCAGTCATGTCATTTGGATGATATGCTATTAAATCATATCCCTTAGCGAGCTTGTATTTTCCAGGTTTGAAATTATATCCCGTTTGGTGCTGAGCCATAAAGCTAAATAGGTTCGGGTCAGTATTTCCTTCCTTGAACTTTCTAATAGCTTCTTTATATCTGTCACTAAAGTCAAGAGTATCTGGGTAACCATAGTCTTCTTTAAGCATTTTTAAGAAATCTTGGTTTCCTTGTTCTCTACTTCTTTTATGTCCTTGCTCTGTTTGTGGAGGTGGTTGCTGTGCAGGGTTTTGAACTGTTGGTTTTGGTTGTTGTGTTGGTTGTGGTGCAGTGTTTTGAACTGTTGGTTGTGGTTGTTGTTGTGCTGGATTTTGAACTGTTGGTTTTGGTTGTTGTGTTGGTTTTGGTGCTGGATTTTGAACTGTTGGTTTTGGTTGTTGTGTTGGTTTTGGTGCAGTGTTTTGAACTGTTGGTTGTGGTTGTTGTTGTGGTGCAGGGTTTTGAACTGTTGGTTGTTGTGTTGGTTTTGGTGCATGCCTGTGTCTGTGTCCATGTGACGATGTAAATGTTTTAGGTAGTCCTGGTGCAGGTACTTCTCTTGGAGGGTTTGGTGGTATATAAGTTCCACTAGCTAGTATATAAGTTCCACCAGCTGGTATATAAGTTCCACCAGCTGGTATATAAGTTCCACCAGCTGGCACATATGTTCCATCTGCAGCATAGTGTCCTACCTGACTTTTCGTTTTTAAGAAAGCATTTACTAGGTCTGTTTTGGTCTGTTGTAACTCTTTTTCTTGACTTTCCACAACAGTTGCTCTAACGGCGTCATAGGCACTTTGAACTGCCTGTCTCGTTGCTGCATCTGTTATTTTCGTCAGATTTTGTGCTACTTCTTTTAACTCTTTGTCGAAACCTTCAGACTTCAGTTTCTTTCCAGATGAGAAGTCGTTCACTTGTTTCACCTTACTATGAAGAGCTTCGAAGGCGTTCTTAAAGTCAGCATTCATTAAAGCTTCATTTGAACTGTCTTCATCCGCTTGTATTTTTGTCCTTATTGACCCTATAAGTTGGGCTGCTTTAGCGTTGGCTTGGGCATCTAACCAGTCATTGTTAGCTTTTATATATTCTGCGCTTTTCATTGCCTTTTGCATGGCTGCGTCGTTATTTTTACTTTCTTGTGCTAAGTTTTCATACTGTACGGTTTGGTTTTGCAACTGTAAAAGTTTTTCTGCCTTTACATTTGCTTCAACTTCTTTTTTATACTCATCGCTATCCATATATGTCTTCAGGGCTTTTTGTTTTATCTCTTCATCTTTCAGTACTTTATATTGAGTAGTATGGTTTTTCAAATTTATAACATCCTGTTCCATTTTTGCTACTTCTGCTGCTTTTTCTGACACTTTTTTCGCATATTCCTCTGTACTTAGTTCTTTCAGTTGTTCTTCTTTCTTCTTTTTCTCTACGTTTAACTCATTGAGTTTCTTTGTGTGTCTGTCATATTCTAGTTTCTTTTCGTTTTCACTTATTTGTTTCTGTATGTCTATGTTTGACTTTTTGACATCTGTTATTTGATTTTTGAGTGAACTCAAATTCATTTGACTTTGAGGGTTATAAGCTGTTCCGTCTGCGGCTCCACCATAGCCTGCCATTTTCGCTAAAAGTGCCGCTCTTAAACCTCCACTCTGTGCACCAATAACTCGGTTTAAAAGCATAGGATTGCTTGACATTTGTTGCAACATAGTGGGGTCATTCATTATTTGTTGTTGCAACTGTTGTTGTGGTGTCAGTTTTACTATTGGATGTTTCAATGCTCCCTTCCTCTTACGTATATTCTTACGTAGCTTACGTGGCATTTTAAGTGAAGTTAAAAAGCGGTTTTTGACAGATGTTTATATGACACTTCTTGTTCAGCACAAAAAACTACTCGGTCAAAGTGTTGTCAGTTTTGTAAAATAACCGTCCTATCTCATTCTATAAGGGGGAAAGTCTTCTCAAAGTATACTTCCTTGGAACGCCTGTAACTTTTCCTGTAGCGACGATAGACCCTTACTTGTCCGGACAAAGTTATACTATTTTGAGTGCTATACAAAAAAGTCAACGGCTGGCTCGTCCTCAGAAATTTTTTATGGGCTAGAGGGCGCAACGCGCCTGGAAGCCCTCCGAATAAAAACTTCATTTATACTAAACATCTTCAGGGCTAGAGGGCGCAACGCGCCTGGAAGCCCCACTACCTTTTTTTTTTTTTTTTTTTTTTTTAAATAGAAATGTATTTTTATTAATTTATATTAGAGGATCAATTTTTGCTGATTTTACTTCAATATGACGCCTTCTTTTGACAATTACAAAATATATTGATAAATTGACAGCAATTATGATAATTACAACACAAGAAACAGCTATTAGAACCAAGGTTTGCTTATTTAAACTAGTTGATTCATTACTTGGTTGTAATATGTCAATTTTGATATTTTTTGTGTAGTCTTCAACTTCTTCTTTACTTTTACCACCATAGCTAGTTGGGAGAACATAAACCATATCTAAAGGAAACATATTATCTATTTTGGATGTGCTTTTATCTTCTTTTATTGATATTTTTACTTGAGTCTTGATATTTGAGAAATTTTGATCTTTAGAAATATATGGCAAAGCAGAGAGGGCATTTCCTTCATTTGTTTTCTTATTGAATGACTTTGAATCAAAGATATAAGCATTCAATAATGTATTATTTGATTCAAACTCCATTTTTCTTCTATACGGACCAAATGAATTGACAATCAATGATTTCACAAATTTGGAATTTTCTTCTTCATATTCAAATGAAAAAACTGCTTTAGACTTGGTTGTAAATATCGAATAAACATTGTTATCATTTCTATTTTGATCTGAATGACATAAAATATTGACAAGGATAACCTGAATAGAACATGATGATTTTGAATTACATGTAAGTTTCATTACACTATTTTCTTCTTGGTAATTGCTATGCATTAAAAACGGATTTTTATAATTTTTTTCTTGTTCGCCATTATAGTAATAAGCAACATAGTTGTCGTTCGATTTCATTACGAAAGAACCCTTAATACATGCATATTGATTTTCTTTTAATTTGAATATCCGGCTCTCTATGCGAATGTGGGTTTGATCATTAACTGTTTGGAAGGGATTCCACGTATTCTGAGGCGTACACTCATTCAAAACTCCTTGTTCGGTTGCACCCATAGCCAAGTTTTTGTAAATAAGTCCAAAAATCATTTTTAAAGATTGACAAATTTTAAAATTCTGAATGAATTGAATTCAACATTCCTCAAATAAGGGATTGATTCTTCTAATTATATAGATTTACATTTCATCAGCAAAAAATTACAAACTCTGATCAATAAGATATCTTTCATTCAATTTTTTATTACAAATTTGAGAAGATTTTTCTCAATTAAAAACGGATCTATGAATCTGACAAGTATAATCTCATCCATTTTTCATGTCATTATGCATCCTACAATCAAATAAAATTGAGATAGTTTTGAAGTTTCGCTTCAAAAATCTTATCCGATTGGCCAACTAAAATCAGATAAATAGAAACCAAAATTTAAATAGATACTGGAATATTTTTATTATCATTGTTAAAACAAACAATTTCTTTACAAGGAGCTCTTAATCTTAACTTGAATAGAGCAGAGAGTTCCATTTGGACTCATAAATAGAATAAAATGTTCTCCTTTTGCACGATGTACTGCTTGGATTTCAACTTTAATGCTTTGGCCAGGTATGATATAACCTGATGAAGGAGTAACAACGATTTTATCAGTGGTAGTGTTAACGGAGAACTCCGCGAGTGTATAAGAAATATTTTCTATCTCGATCGTGATACTCTTTTTCCTCTTGATTTCCACTTTTTGTGTGTTTGCGATACAGATTGGTTTTTCAAGACTAAGTAACTCGTTGTATTTCTTGTAAAGGAGGCTGTTGAAGACTTCTTTTCTCTCTTTGTTCTCAGCAGGGATCATCAATTCCCAATGGGAATGGACACATCTGTGATCCGAAATTTTTGAAGTGCCATTTGTGTAAAGAATGTTCTTAGGATCGACAGGATAGTTGTGATCTGGCTCTGTAGGTGCGAAATAGCTCTTGTTTGAGAATGGATAACGAGGATCTCCGTAATGATAAAAAACATCTGTTTCAAAGAAGAAAGCATCGTTAGGACCAACGGAAATACGTGGTTCAAAAGTACGTAGAAGAACTCTATCCGTGTAAGAAGGAACTCTTTTCTTTGGAGATGTATCATAAATGTCAGAATTTTTATCGAATTTGTAAGTTGGTCTGAAAGTAATCGGAGGTTCGAATAATTTTCCTAATTCTGGTACCATTCTGCGCTGATTTATTAATTGGTCGGTTTCTAATAAAGATGACAAGTCAGAACCATTGCAAAGGTTGACGACTTTCTCATAAGGCATACTAATTCTGTAATTGAGATCGCCACATATGAACAAATAGTCCGTATCTCTTGGAACCATGTTCATGATCTTAATAAGCTGCTGATTTCTGCTTTCGATATTATGATCGTGAGCAGTAAGATGGCATCCGACTAAACAGATGTTTGCTGCACCTGCCTCAATATTAAATTGAACAAAAGACTTGTTTGCAACAATTCCTCCAGCGCCAAGACGTAATTTCTTTGTTTTAGCAAGTCTAAGCTGAGGATTAGTCTTATTGAGTGCAAGACATCCGAAAACACCACCAAGAGATATCGAATGAACAATTTCTAGTTGTGATGTTTTGACAGAAGCAGTAATAACTTCTTTCCATTGGTTGGCTTTAGCGGAATTTCCTATGACCATAGAGTTGACACTCATATCGATCTCCTGGAAAGAGAAGAAGGCAACGTCAGGATTTGAATGAATAACTTTCATAAGTTCTGGAGTAGCATATGTGGTAGGGGTAGCTTCAGCGACATTCCATGTTAAACAATGGATAACAATTGGCTGGGATTGAGTAAAATAGGAGGAATTCAAAACTGTGCATCTTTCTTTCCAAACCTCTTCAGTTTCTTTGAAGATGCCAACGGGAGAAAGACCGTACTTGGTCTTATGTAAATCAATGAAATCAAATGGTAATGGATAGTTCTTTTCCATTGAATTGGCTTTCAAGTAAACAGCGTTTTGTTGATGAAAATCATCAGAGGCATTTAGCGATATATTGGCTGTTAAGCGGAACTGTGAAATGAATGCTTCAAATTTGCGAGATTTTTCACATTTGACTAAAACTTTTTCATCTTCATAATCCATAAATGTAAATAGGATGGAATCAAGCGATACATGGGCTGTAATTAAGCGTGTAATAGGGATAATGCATAGTTTACCTTCATTTTCAATTTCTTGAAAACATAAGTAAGGCATTGCAAGGGAACCAATCTGAAGAAGAATTCTCATGTTTATTTTAACACTAGATGCCACGAAATATCCTTGACAAGCGCACCAAGGCTCAAGAGATTCATAAAATTCTTCCATTCAAGAATTGAATCTTTATTTATCGAATCCTATTTTATTTTTGAATTGAGTAGGGGTAATTTTAGCTAAAAGTGACACATTTGTAAAAAGTGACACACCGTGAAGGATGTGATTACCGATCGGTAATTTCGACAGTTTAGAATTTAAAATTTTTTATGGAACTGTTGCGAGTTTCATAAAGAATTTAAGGAATATAAGCAAAGATTTGAATCAAAATCTTAGACCTAAGCCGCTCGATTCGCTCGCGGCTTCCGCGAATTACAGATCAGCAAAGATTTGAATCAAAATCTTCGAACTAAGCCGATCGCTTCGCTCGCGGCTTTCTTTATTATTTTAAATTTGCATATTTCCATCAAAAGTTCATAAGGTAAAAAATTTCGTTTATTTTTACTAAGAAAAAAAGGTTTTGATAATAAATTTATTTTATTTCGAAAAAGTAGCAATAATCGTAAAAGGGTATTGATAGGCTTGCTAAAGTAACTAATTTTAGCTGTCAAATACTTTTGTATTTTGAAGTAAATTAGTATAAATTTGTTTTTACTTTTATTTCGAAAAAGTAACAATAATCGTAAAAGGGTATTGATAGGCTTGCTAAAGTAACTAATTTTAGCTGTCAAATACTTTTGTATTTTGAAGTAAATTAGTATAAATTTGATATTATTTTAACTCCCTTTGAAAACCTCAATTTTCCATACAGAGGGAACGGGAATAGCATCCAATATTCCCTGAGAATGGTTGCGCATTCTCAGTTCCCTCTATATTTCGAACGAAGCTCTCATCGGTCTTTTTTTAATACTAAACGTTTTTTTTCCTGTCACTTTTAGCTAAAATTTGGGTTTGCCAATATTTATTGTACTAACGATAGGACCACGTTGACGATAAAATTTGTATCTGTCGAAATTATTGATTTTTTCATATAATAAAATAATAGCAATTTGTAACTGTATATTTCTGAATTTGGCATCAAAATAAAGATGATCGGAGAGTCATATTTATTTTCTTTGGGAATTAGGATATGTTTCTACCTTAGAATGAATCCATGCATAGAAAAACAATGGAATCCAAATTCCCATGACGGGAAATCACAAATCATGAAATTTTGAAAATACTATTCATATGCAAAACAACATTAAATGCAAATGATGATGCTTGATCAAATGATGGGAAGTGTATTCAATGAATTACGATTATATCTAAATTGAGCTCAATGAAATCAAATGTGTACATGCTTGATTTATAAATAGAATGAAGGGTTATACTAACTTAATAAGAATATGAAGAACAAAATTTGTTGATTTTATTAATTGACTAAGATCATTCCTATATCAAATATTATCAAATATAAATAAACAAAATCAGATGAGTTGTTTACATTGGAACTAATACCAAAGGATAAAGTAGATCTCTAATGACTTTCTAATGTGAAAATTATAAAGTTCGCAGTGTTCTTTACTAATCAAGTTTGTGGTAGTAAAGAAATTGTGGTACAGATTCCTTCCATTAATACATTAGTCTGTCTAACACATTAATTTGCAATAGCATTAGAATTCTTGTTAGATTCATTGATACATCTAATATAATGACTTCCTTGAAGTAAGTTGCATAATATGTTTGAATATAATCATCTGGATGAAAATCTTATTGCTTTCGACTTTTCTATTATCATGGTGTCATTTTATATCTATGAACTTATTTAATATACATATATTATATATGAAATTATTTTCGAAATCTTTGAGTTCATCGATTTCCACATGTTTAACATGATGTTTGTTTCATCTAATGAGTTTAAAAGATATTTTTAAGTTAAAATGCAAATGTGTCCTAAGTAGTATGTCAAATTTTAGGATATATTCCCCCACTCATATATATACGGTCTTAATTCTATCGGCGCTTCGCGCCGATAGAATTAAATGAAAATTATTAATGTCCGACCAAGACATTCATCCAAATAAATACAGCGAACTGCGAAGTATCAATAAATACTACATTGATTCATATATTTCATTGTATCAGCTGAAAACGGACAAAGAAGGAGAATTAAAAGATATTTACAAAATGATCAAAACAGAATTGATTGAATCTCAGAAACTTTGTCCGCAATTTATTATACGAGATATCTTAAATATCATTCCGTATAATAATCGCTATACAAAGTCATATTTATCTCTTGCCAAACTCATATCTGATGATTATCATGTAGAAGAGGTCAATTTTGTTAAACGTATTTCAAACTACCTGTTTTATGTAGAATACGGAATTCAATTAGACAAATCTGGTGATTTTTTTGAATTTAACTTTGAAGATCTGAATATTCATTCAGAAAATACAATTATGTATAATGACTTAGAAATATTCATACAATTCACCGAAAGAAATGGATTTGATAAAAATCAAAGCCTTGACAATTGTTTATATCCATATTCTTACATAGGATATTCATTACTTGAGTTATGTTGTTACCATGGAGCAGTTGATTTTCTCAAGTTATTAAGATCAAAATTCAGTTCAGAAATAACTAAAAAATGTCTAAATTTATCATTTTTAGGAGGTAATCAAGAGATCATGAGTGAATGTTTGAAATATCAAACACCAGATTATGAATGCATGGAATATGCAATTATTTCACACAACATTGATTTTGTTACATTCTTGATGAATGAATACAATATAGAGATCAATTTATTTTATTGTGCACGGTATAATAATCTTGAGCCATTTTTAATTTATTTCGATCAAACTAATGATGTTAACAAATGCTTTATTAATTCTGCAATGTTTAATATACCATCTCTTTGCGAATATTTCCTATCAAATGGTGCAAATATCAATGAAGATAATGATGGAAAAACCGCTCTTCATTATGCAGCATGGAAAAATAGTAAAGAAACAGCTGAAATTCTTATTTCACATGGTATAAATTTCAATAAAAAAGATGAAAGAGGAAAAACCGCTCTTCATACTGCAGCATGGAAAAATAGTAAAGAAACAGCTGAAATTCTTATTTCACATGGTATAAATATCAACGAAAAAGATAATAGTGGAGAAACCGCTCTTCATACTGCAGCATGGAAAAATAGTAAAGAAACAGCTGAAATTCTTATTTCACATGGTATAAATATCAACGAAAAAGATAATAGTGGAGAAACCGCTCTTCATACTGCAGCATGGAAAAATAGTAAAGAAACAGCTGAAATTCTTATTTCACATGGCGCAAAAATATAATGTTCTTAAAAAAGATCGTGCATTATATTGCAGAGAACTCTCATCAAAATGGACAAGAAGTGATTTACTTTTCACAAAGGAATTAAAATACGAAATGATTTAATATAAAATGAAGAAAAAAAAAAAGGAACTAAAACCAAAATGTTTATAACTATGATATACATATACCATTAGGCATTTTTTATACATTTATTCCTTATAAAGACTTTGTAATAAATGAATAATTCAAGTAAAATTCTTATTTGAAAAAACTCATAGAAAAAATTAAATAAAATTAAATTAAAAAACGTGTTTTTAAAATTTCATGAAAAGTGCAAAGAAAAAGGAAGATCGTGAAGTCTACAAAGATCCGATTTTTGGTATTCCGCACTTACATGATCCTGCAATTATGCGAATAGTAGAAAAACATGATCCTTATCGACAAATGAATGAATCTATGAAATTAATGGCACGAAAATCGCAATTAAGACTGCGAGCAGTGGAGAGTTCGAAACCCCGATACATTCATACCAGATTTAATATTGAAGCATTGACTAAATCTCCTTTAATGTGTTTTCCTCATTTTGAAGAAATGACAAACTACTTAGATCAGTGGTTTTCCTCAAGGCAGCAAATGGAAGCATCAATTTTAACATCAAATCAAAGAGGAACGTTTATAGCTTTATCGAAATTTTGTGATTCTCTCTTTTTACTTTTACAAGAAACCGCAAGAGCATCTCCCATATCACCAGCACCATTAGCAGGAATTTACAAATGGTATTTGCAAAGAGATACAGTTATTAACCAAAGCAAAAACCTTAATATGCCAATTCAAAATGAAAACGTTACAATTATAGAGCTTCCTAATGGCAAAAAGATTGAAATCAATAATAACGAATTAAATTCTCGATATGTTCTTAACAAAGTTACTTTGACGCCAGAAATTATTATGAGAGAGTTTAATTCAATCAAAGTAGCTCCACCACCCATTATTGAACAGAAGCCCCCAGAGCAAGTTCATAGGACAACAAGAATCTTAATTCACCCAACATTTCACGAAATTACCAAGAAAGAAGAAGAGAAGGAACCAGAAGAAGAGAAATTTGACTACGAACTACTTCATAAGAGATTACAAGCGGAAAGAGAATCTGAAGAAGAAATCGATCGAATTACAAAATTTCTTATGGCAAATACACATCTAGGAGTTCATCCTTACTCGCTTCGTAAATAAATATTTTTGTTTGAATGTTTATTTATATAAATTCAAGTTTTTGATCAAATACATTTAATTTTTTTTGGATTTTGAATTGTAAAATTGAAACCGTATCCTTCAAGTCTCTCATAATCGAGGGAATTGAAACATTCACATGAGAAGAATATAATTTTCAGTATGTTTTGTTCAAATTCTTAAATAGATACAGTTCAATTCCAGTGTTTTTAGATTCCAAAAGGTCTAATGAATTTCATTAATTGGTTAGAACAAAAAGGTACAGGGTGCACTTACTACTTCCTGACATACTCTCTGACATCCCGATATATGACTTGACATCGTACTTTTCGAACATAATACTCATCGCTTTCTCGCGAGATACCTTAGGATTGCCCAAGAAAATTCACAAAATTTCTGACAGATTTAAGCAAGCACTTATCGCTTTCTGATATTCTCTCAATTTTTTTTTTGACAAAATATGAAGCTTCATGACTAGTATGATTGAGGCAATTTTCCCAGACTTTATTCCTTATTTAATGAAGATCACGATTTTGAAAATGTCCTTTTGGTTCTCAAATACTTGATTATTGAAGAAACATATCAAATGTTTTATAATGGTTCTTATACTGTCATGGCAGGTTTCAATGATGATGAACTTCTTTATTGTAAGAACTTACAAAAAATGATATGAGCAAATATCAAATTAAAGCTTGATATTTTGAGTCAACTCATACAATTAATTCAATGAGTTTCTATAAAATTGGATCTTTTTTCTTAACTCTAGGTACATATGGTGAGGAATCTTTTATGAGGCCAGATTTTTTTCATTAGTGAGTATTTTCAGTCTAAATATTCGTGATTGCAATTTCAAATTTCAGCATTTATCTATTGATTAAGTCTTTGGTGAGGAAGAATTTTCAGCCCAAGAATGCTCACTCTAAGCTTTGTGACTACTCTTGAAACTTCCATTAAAATATTCATAATTGGGAATCAAGAAAATTTATTAAATTTAGTGTCCAAATTCAATGGGGTTGAAAGTTTCTTTCCTACGACCCCCCAGTGAGATGCCTACTTGGGTGAATGAGCTCTCTCCATTCGTCATTTGGAAGAATACACGAATCTTCCCAACTAGACATCTCATGTTGATTGCAGAAGTGATTTGTATTTTATTATACATGAAAAGGGTCTTAGTTCCTTCAACTATGATCTCATATCATATTCATGAAATGTTTGTAAACATCTTTTACGCAAAAAATCACGAAGCTCCCGTTTCAAATACTGATACATTGAACGAATATTTCCAATCATTATTTGACAACGCTCAAGAAATGCATGATGACTTCTTACTAAATGTGTCTTTTCCAGATCCAGACCATTTATTAAAGCAAGTTTACGAATATTCAAATGGAACAACGCAAAACTACTATGAGCTCAAAGAATTGGATCCTAACATTCTTAAAAACGTATCTACAATCCGTACATTGATCCCAACCTACATTATTTCATCCAAGAAGCGAGTTCCAGGATGTTCTGCATGGACAATCGATATTTCAGTATCAATGGTCAAAACAGACCCTGCATTTTGGCTCAGTAGCAAAGTCCATCGTACACAATGCCCTCAATCTATTCATGTTGAGTGGAAAAGATTAGAATATGTAATGGGAACAACAGCTACATTATACCCTCTCATATTCATCTGCATATCTCACTTTATATACAATATATTCGAAATGCATTCAAGGATCCAACTTCATCAGAACTTTTATAAAAATGATCATCGTTACCATCAGCTTAAATCATCACGACAGCTACATTACACAGTTGGTATGTGGATACCTGTTGAGTTCTTAACTCTTTTCGGTACAGTTGTCACTTCATGTTTTGTTATAAAAGATATTTACACTGTTACAGAGCTTCCATCGCTTCTTGTTATGGAATTATTCTCAGTAACATCATGTATCCATCTTTCCATTACAACACAGCTATTTGCTTACACAAAAACAGTATATTTATTTGTCCTCATCATAAGAGATGGTTTTATCCTGTTTTTCAATGTCATTGTTGGTACAGTACCCTTCCTATTTGCTATTATGCTCAGTGGCGTGTTCATGTTCGCTACTTACGCGAAGAAAACGAGAAGTTTCTGGTCGATGTACGAAATCATCAACTCATTCGAGTATTCCAACAACATCCTTCCAATGTACAACGAGTTCTCTGACGGAACAACACTCTTCAACTGGCTGTCATTCGCGTTCATGACTGTGACAGTAATTGTGTCTGGTTGGATTGTTCTTTACTCGTTGATGTCTGCGGCATTGGTTACACACTCTGCAATTGTGAGAAAGCAGAAGATGGATTAACCATTTTATATTTTAATTTTTGTTATATATATATAATAGATAATAATATATTCTTATAAAAAATACTTTTTCTTTTCTATTTTTATCAAATAATTAAGAGTACACTTACGCCCTTATGACATGGGCTTCAATTCAGATGTTTAAGGTTAATTTTCAATGACGCTTCAAGCCGGTTATCAAAAATCTGAATTAAAGTCAAATGGGCATGAGTGCAGCTTTAATGGATCTCCTCCTTCGTTTACATAAATGTACATTGATTACACCCTGACTCATACATTTTTAGATTTTGAAACAGTAAAAAGATAGATGATGATCAATGCATGCTATATTTACGTTTATTCATAAAAATATCAATTCTTTCATAGGAAAAATGTAACTTTAAGTGTTAAAAATTGAATAGTTGTAAATTAAGTTGGTGGACCCTTAATATCGTCTTTATGTGGTTTCCATTGAAAGAATTTGGGAAATGCAAATGCAGGTTTCCAAAATAACTGAAGCTTTTCCACGAGTATCCTTCTTTTCCACTTCCAATTGAGAAAAGAAATTGTATAATATTAAATTTGCCATTGTGCAATGTCTTAATGAGTAGAATAGGTTCATAATAATTCTATTCTCTTTGCCAGCTCCAGCTGAGAGTAACAATTTAACTAATTCAAGATTTTCTATATTTGCTGTTTTAATGATTGGAATTCTCTTGCATTCAATATACAATTTTCAATTTTTAATTGAAAATTGTATTATTGAAGGCAAGAGAATGCAGTTTTCTTGCACAACATTTGAATTACAATTCAAAATTGAAATTCAAAAAGTGCAAGAAAAGTGCTAATTTGTTTACATTTAGATGCATTTATCAAACAATAAAATGAAAAAAGAAATTTTGGGAATCTAACTTTTTAACCAACCTAATTTATTCATGAAAAAGGGTAATGTTCCTTCAGATAAACAGTATTCTGTTAATTTTTTTTAAAAAATTGCCATACTTTTATCACAAAATTTCATGGAAAACTTCGGGAAAATTTAACAAAAAAGTTTGCCTAGTATTGAAATTTTTATTATTCCATTTTCATTATTACTTTATTCTCATTAATTTTTAAAATTTTTAAATTGAATGATATTTCAGAGGTAGGGCAACGATAGAAAATTTTTGGAAAAAAAGTTCGGAGATTTTAAACGTATCATATTCCCTGCATGGTTTGGTATCTTCCGCCATGCGTTGTGCCAAACATATTGACACTTTCCAATAATTAATTTATGGTATGAGTCACAGAGTTAGATTATAAAAAGAAAGTAAATAATTGCAATTAGAAATCATATATGTCGGAAATCAAATGTTGATGAGCAGAAACCTTTTACTCATCATAAAAGAGATAAATCACTAAAAATTTGTATACATTAAAATTTGATATTTGGTGCTCGAAAACTGTCTGATGGGACTCCTCCAAAATGAACCAATCTATCGCTGAGGACCAAATTAGATGATGTGGATGGTGTATTCTCTAATTCTAACTTAGGAAGAATGGGAACAAAACGAATGACGACAACAAATGTCAAACATAGATTAAATATCTATGAATCAATAAAGTATACGTGCATTGAAGGTGATAACGATCACTTGAGGCTTATAACTCTTTGACTAAATTATGCAATAATTAAATATAATCATTTTTATATTTTTATACTGATAGTAATTAATATACTATCCTGCTTAATAAATGGTATGATCAAATTTGTTTGAAAATTTAATTATGTATATGAAACTATGTCTTCTATATAAAAATCAAAATTTTCGAACCTAGATTGAACCTTTATGAAAATCTATCATTTTTGTTAATTGAGTTAATATGAATCTTTTACATATGTATATATAGCATTGATAGCTTATATAATCATGGTTTATTCCATATTAACATATTTTTTCAGTTAAATTTGTTAATAATATCATGTAACAAATTAATTCAAGATTAGAATGTCTACAAAATGCTAACAAATAAGAACAAAATACGATTTCTCGACTTAAATTTTAATATGGAGTAGTTTTTCGTTTAAATCTAATTAAAAATGAATAAAAACTTATCTTGTACTATTTTCATTCAAAGATTTTAATAATGTAAATCATGCATTTTCATAATTCAGTACAGTTCTTTTTAGAATTAAAGTTGATGAGGATGATATTTGTGATTTAAAATAATTTGTTAATGTTCACCTTTTATTCATCACCTTGTGGTATGCCCTAAAGCAATAGCATTATCAATTCTGCTGAATTGATCAACTCAAAATTCCAAAAAAAATTCAAAATTTCAAAAATGAAATTAAACAATTTGAATTTTCACATGAAAAAATCAATTTCGAAAAAAATTTGGAAAATCAAAGTATTTGATAATTAGTCAAATAATCAATTTACATCGTTTTTACTCATAAAAAACAACTAATTTTTGATTTTGATATCATATTTGATAAATACTCATTCCAGAGTTGACGTAATGTATTAATTATTGTTAGAGATATTGCTTTCGCAGCAAAATTCTTATTTCATGAAAGAAAAAAAAAATGATTTTATTCCAACAAAAACAAGTAAACAGATGAATGGAAACGTACTATATTTTCATAAATGTAGTAATCAGCGTGTCGGCTTTTGTTTATCATGTTCGAGTCAAAATGTATTAACTTGTAATAAGAAATATTCGAAGATTATATGAAGTATTGAGCATTCTTTGTAGAAATATTTGTAATTCATTACTAACATATATAATAAAGTTGTTTTTTTTTCCTTATTGCAATAATTTTGTCTGATTTTAATAACTTTTCATGTATACGAGTTGTGTGAATATGCATCATAATATGCGTAAATATACTTATTTGCGACGAATAATGTGGTTGCATAATGGAGGTGCTAAATTTTGATTTTTAATATGGGGCTTTGGTATGTATAATCATGTTCTTATCTCAACGTAGGAGTATTGGTGCAATATGATTAAAATTTACGAGGTTGATCTTAAATTGAATAATTCTGGAGTATAAATCACAATGCAGCTAATTCTATGTTAAAGATAGATACAGATTGTAGTAATCAATTAGGGAGTACAAATTCATTCTTTCATTTCTGTCGTATTGAGCAGAAAGGAAGAGATCATAACCCTAGGAAAAAAAGCCCAAATTTGTCACTTTTCATAGTACGTTAAACTCAATTCGCTCGGCGAATGCCGAGCACACGTACTCATCATTCAACATAATATTCTCATTCTTTGGTTATTATAGTGCCAGACAACACAAGATTTCAAAGAATTACTTGAGTTTTCAATTAATCTTAATCCGATTTTAGATTTATCGAGAACTCCATCATCACAATCACATACTTCAGTGCGGTAACTACAATTATCCATATACAGAAGGAAGTTCTTTTCGAACAACTCATTTGGAGTCTGTTTTGGAAAGAACTTCTTTCTGTCCGACTTAATTTCATAGTTCCTGATCAACCAAAAGACAGAAACCACACACTATCTACTTAGGAAAGGAGTTCTTTCTAAATCTTCCTTAAATTGAGATTTTACGAGAGATAACCCTTCTATTGCACTTAAAAATGAACATTTTGATATCTTTAGTATCACACATGGTCATATATAGTATTTCATCTACATGAATACATTCATCTTTCGAAGTCTCTCATTAAATGGGAGGCTTCGAAAGATGAATCGTTTTATTCATACAACTTTAAATCTCGAACACATTTAGAGAGTGAGTATATCATTTTATTCTTGTTTTGAGTTTATTCTGATTCAAAATTGCAGTGAAAACAGAAGTTCACACATCATATCTGAATGTGAGCTCATCTATACTTATACGATCTCAATACCTCCACTCTAAGCATAAGAGGTGAAGTTATATAAAAATTATCAGATGCGTTGAAGTCTCAAAAGTATTGCCTGAATGCTTGTTTCATATTTGTCCAAGTAGTTTCAATGAATAAATGTATTGTTTTTTATAATTTCGATTTATTTTTAGAAAATATTCAATATAAACCTTTATTGTGTTATTTACATCTCATAAATTCTCTGTCTAAATCATATAAAAGCGCGTTTTACCCCTATGAATCAAGAAATTCATTCAATATTCATGGTATATTTATTAAATTTATACGATTTACTAATAATCAATATTATATCCTCATAAATAGCAATATATTTTGGTAATCTATGATAATCATATACAATATTTGAAATCAAATTTTCATTAGTTTAGGTTCCTTGTTAATAGTAAACCATTATATTTAATACTAATAATAAATCTATGTGTCGTATTGAAATTCAATAAAATTACTTATTCGGTCCAAAAAAACAAATTAGATAAAATTTTTCTTTTTTTATGTAATTTTTGTTTTTCATTTTTCTCAAGATCCTAAGTTATGTTCTAACTTTTGACATCATATCCTATCATGCTAGGCTATATATTATAGCATATCCAAAAGGCAAGGAAATCTATCAGAGAAGCCTTTTTGACCTATCGTTGCCCTACCTCTGATATTTCAAAAGTGGAAAAATTTTTAGCAAAAATGATGTATTTTTAGGAAATATAGATCAATTAAAATACATTCATTATTCATTAAAATTTCACAAAAATTAAGGAAAAATTGAAATTCCGTTTTTTATCAATTCATTTTTATTTAATGCAAGTTCTCATCAAGAAGATCATTGGAAATCCAGTAGCATATGAAATAGACAATTACGACAGAGTTGAAGATATTAAAGCAAAGATTCAAGCCCAAGAAGGTGTTCCATTAAATCAGCAAGATTTAATTTATTCCGGAATGCGTCTTATTAATGGTTCAACAATCCAGGACTATTCATTAAAGAGGAATGATACTATTCATCTCATTATACGCATGACCGGTTTCTAAATAAAAAATTGTTTGTATGTTTATTAATAATTCGATGATTTTTTACTATTTTTACTGTTATTCTTTCAATTAATTAATATACTTAAAGCTTTAAAGGTGTTGTAACAAGAAATTTGACCTTAGAATTAATACGATTTCACTCAAATACCGGCTTTTAACATGTTCCGCTCATAGTTCCAGAAGTTCTTGAAGTACTCAGCCTTTCTGTTCTCGTAGCCGATGTACCAGGCATGCTCCCAAATGTCGACTGTGAGGAGTCGCTTGTGGACATCCTTGACTGGGCTAAGGGCGTTGTCATCCTTGTTCTTGTAAAGAAGGCACCAGCTGGAGCCGAAGACTATAGAAGCCTTTGCTGTGAATGTCTCCTTGAACTTCTCGACAGACTTGAAGTTAGCAGTAAGGACTTCAGCAACCTTTGGTGTAACTGGGATTGTTTCAGGCTGAAGGCACTTCCAGAAGAAGGAGCGGTTGAAGCGCTGGGTAACGTTGTTAAAGAGTGGGGCTTCTGGATAACTTCCTCAATGGAGAAGCCGAAGAAACTGAACCCATATCCTTAGTATAATAGCGAACTATGATAACAGCATGCATAAGCTTGGCTAACATTTATGTTATGAGATATTAACAATTTAAATTTTATTTCAATTCTCAATGGTTATCAAAAAACATGTTTTTATGTCGTTAAAATCAGCATATGGACTATACAAAAGCATATTTTGACTTCATCAATAAATTTTCGGAAATTCATGGAAACTAAGGGTATATCTAATATCTACATCATTTATTAATCCTAAAAATCATAAAGATGATCATCTTTGAGTTGTTAGGCCAAAAGTGCCCCAACTAAATTTTTTAAAAAAGCATGTCAAGTTCAGAGCAGCAAAAAAATGAAAATTCGGGCATTTTCAGTGACATCAAGCCAATTAAAGTATTCGAATACCCAGATCAAACATCAAAAATTATTTGGAGCGTCAATTCCAATAATATTTTACAAATAACTTCACAAATTATCGAATTAATAACAACAAACAAAATATCTGTCCAAATGGCACTTTATTTGATTGATATTATTTCACAAATTCGTGTTAAAGAAATCAAATTATATTCAGAACTTTATCAAAAGATATCAAACGAATTTTCATGCATCATCCAGCCGAAAAATTTGAATTTGGCAGCATTATTATATTATAAAGGCCTCAAATTTGAAAGCTTCAAAGCTTTCATGACAGAAGAAGAAATTCTCAATTTATTTTCAACAGAATCTCCTTTATACTATATTGCATGGGATAAAGTTAATGATCTTAAGAATAAATTCCCAAATCTTGATCTTGAAAAGAAAATTAATGATATCACACCGCTTGATTGTGCAATTAAATATGGATCAGAATTGTGTTTCAATTACTTGAAAAATTTAGGAGCGCAATACACAGATGAATCCGAAAAATATGCTCTTCAAGGTGGAAATAAAGAGATCTTTATGCAAATGATAGACGATGGTAAATTATTTAAAAACATGATTAATACAGCATTGAATTATCGAAACTATGAAATTGCTGAGTATCTTAGATCAAATTTTATACAACCTTTCAATTCAATAGCAGAAAGTATGCATTTCGGAAATTATGATATTGTATCTCATTTACTTTCTAATGGATGGAATATCAACAAAATTTATAATCTCTTTCTTTCCATATTTATCATTGGTTAATAAAATTCTCTTTCTTTTCGTATTTGTCATTGCTTTATTGCATTCTCTTTCTTTTAGTATTTGTCATTGCTTTATTACATTCTCTTTTTTATCATATTTATCATTGTTTAATGACATTCTATTTCTTTTCATATTAATCATTGTTTAATGACATTCTTATTCTTATAATATTTATCATTGTTTTACAGCATTTTCTTTCTTTTCATATTTAACATTGTTTTAAATAATTCTCTATCTTTTCATATTCATCATTGTTTAATGACATTCTCTTTCTTTTCATGTTAATCATTGTTATATGTCATTCTCTTTCTTTTCATATTTAACATTGTTTAATAATATTCTCTTTCTTATCATATTTATCATTGCTTGATAGAATTCTCTTTCTTATCATATTTATCATTGCTTTATTTCATTATCTTTCTTTTCATATTAATCAATGTTTTATTGGATTCTCTTTCTTTTTAAATTTATCATTGCTTTATTGGATTCTCTTTCTCATCATATTTATCATTATTTAATGAAATTCGCTCGATATTAATGAATGCCCTCTTAGTATTGCTATCAATACGAAATCAATAGAAATCGTCCAATTCCTAGTTGAACATGGTGCATATGTTAACAAGAAACTTATTCTTTTTCTTTTCATATTTATCATTTTTTTATGGCATTTTCTTTCTTTTCATGTTAATCATTGTTTTATTGGATTCTCTTTCTTTTCATATTAATAATTGTTTTATGGCATTCATTTTCTTTTCATATTTATCATTATTTTAAAAAATTTTCTTTATTTTCGTATTTATCATTGTTTTAAAAAATCCTTTTTATTTTCGTATTAATCATTCTTTAATGACATTCTTATTCTTATAATATTTATCATTGTTTTATGGCATTTTCTTTCTTTTCATATTTATCATTGTTTTAAATAATTCTCTTTCTTTTCATTTTTATCATTGTTAAATGGCATTCTCTTTCTTTTCATGTTAATCATTGTTTTATTACATTCTCTTTCTTTTCATTTTTATCATTGTTATATAACATTCTCTTTCTTATAATATTTACCATTATTTTATTTCATTCTCTTTCTTTTCATATTTATTATTGTTTTAAAAAATTATATTTCTTTTCATATTTTAAATTTTTTTACATAATTCTCTTTCTTTTCATATTTATCATTGCTTTATGACATTATCATTCTCTTCATAATTATCATTATTTTATGAAATTCGCTCGCTATTAATATAAGTCCTCTTAGCATTGCCATCAAAATTGAAGCAACAAATATTTTCAATTTCTTAGTTGAACATGGTGCTACAATTGTCTAATAATTCTTTTTCCAATAGCATTATTCAATATTGAAAAAAAGATATAGTAATGTTGTTATTATTTAATAATAAACATCTCATAATAATTTAATATACATACCTACATTGCCGGACCACCCTCGAATCAAAACATGATTTGCATACCAAAAATTCTAGAAAAATTTTACACAGTACCCACATTATCAGAAAATATGGTTGAGAAATTATGCTAAATCTACTTTAAAAGATTTCGAATAAAATCAAAACTTATTGCATGAGAATAGTGAAATATGAATTTTCAGATATATGAGAATATGAACAGTGAGAGATCTTTAAAATCGGAGGAAATTGCAAAAACAAAAGAATATGAAAATGAAAAAATGATAAATGTATAGTTTTGTGGTATCTTTAAATATTATATGATATGATACTATGCTTGGAACTGTGAAAACTTGATAAATCAATAGGTTGTATCTCAAATTGATTACATGTGGTGCAAAAAATGCGCAAAAACGATTATAGAAAATTGAATCTGCAAATTTTTGCGCATTTGAAAATTTCACATTTGACTATTATTTAAACAATCAAATCCAACAAATTCACACGCAAAAAATATCAAATTTTGGCTACATTAAGCGGATAAATTTTTAAATGCGCAAAAATGTACAAATTGAATTCAAAATAATCGTTTTTACACCTTTTTTTGCATTTGTAGGAAAACAAAATATTTACCAAATTAAAAATATTATTTCGAATGGATAACAGTCAAATCTCAAACCACTCAGTTATTTCATACACACTATGATCAGTTATTGAAAATTCCAAAACTCACACTATGATTTTCCTTTTATTAGTTGCAAAATTTCAAACAATTATCTCCAACCTATTTTGTGAAATTGTCAATATTAATAACATATAAAAACAGAATGCTTTTTCAATAATGGGTATTTAATCCTTAAAACTTTTACCTATGCAATGTAGCATTTCTTTGGTTTGTATATTTCAGCTCCATGCTCAACTAGATATTGTTCAATATCGCCTGAAGATTGTTCAATTGCAACATTCAGCGGATATTTGATAATAAAAAGATAATTTCATAAAACAATTATTGATAGGAAAAGAAAGAAAATATTATAAAACAATGATAGATATGAAGAATAAAAGAATAAGCTTCAGGTTTACATCAGCACCATGTTCAACTAAGAAGGTAACAATTTCTATTGAATTCGCTTTGATTGCATAAGTTAGAGGACAATCATTAAAATAGAGAGAACTTCATTAAAATTTGACAAATATTATTAGAAAGAAAATTTCATCAAACAATGATAAATATAAATGGAAAGTGAATGTCATATAATAATGATAAAAATGTAGTTCGAAAGAATGCTATAAAATAATAATAGACATTAAAAGAAAGAAAAGAAGTTTCACGTTTATATCTGCACCATATTCAATTAAGAGGGTGACAATTTCAAATGAATTAGCTTTGATTGCAATACTTAGTGGAACATCATAAAAATCAAAAGAATATCATAAAACAATGAGAAATATCAAAAGAATGAAAATACAATAAAACAACAGTGAATTTCATAAAACATTGAGAGACAAGAAAAGAAATATAATGCAATTAAGCAATAGTTGATATAAATTGTATTGAAATTTCATAAAACAATGATCAACATTAAATAAAAGAAAATTCCCTAAAATATTGATGAATATGAAAAGAAATAGAATATCATTGATCAATAATAGATATGTAATGAAAGTGAATAAAATTTAATAATGATAAACATGAAATGAAAAACAAAGAGTCTCATATTGACATCAGAACCATGCTCAACTAGGAATCTAACGATTTCAATTGATTTATTTTTGATTGCAATACTGAGTGGGACATCAAAAGTATTAAAAAAATTTCAAAAAGCAATGATATATCTTAAAAGAAAGATAATTTTATAAAACATTGATAGATATGGCATGAAAAATAATGTAATACAACAATGATGGAGAATAAGTGAAGAAGAATTCCATAAAACAGCAATTAATTTTTAAACATAAGGAATTTTATAATCCAATGGATGAAATGGAATGAAAGATAATTTCATAAAACAACAATTAATATAAAAACAAAAATAATTCTATAAAACAATGATGTGTTTCAAAAGAAAACAAATTAAATAAAACAATGTTTGATATGACAAGAAATATAATGATATAAAACAATTATTAATATAAAAAGAAAGAGAATGTAATACTTTAATGATTGAAATGAAAATATTATGTAAAGTACTCACAAAATCTAGATTAAGAGGCGGTCAATGACTTTTGAGGGGAAATTAACGCATGGAATTTAATATTATTTAGGTTGATATTCTTGCTTATTATTTCAGAAAAAATTCTTAAAAATTTCAATATGAAAATTGAAAGCAATTCAAAAAAATTGCTAAAATGTAAATTTTAATATCCTATGCATAATTTCATATTTTGAACATTTTTTATTTTTGTTTAAAACTTAAAATTTTGCGAATTTAATATAATTTATAAAATATAATACGTATATATATTTAAAATACACTAAATTTAATTGTTAATTGACGTTTTTGGGAATGAATTTTATCAAACATGCCTGAATCCGAAAATTTGAAAGAACGAATTACACAATCATATATGTAGAATTCAAAATACAAACTTAAAGATTGTATACGTTTAAAATTATTCAGATTGTGTTTGATTTCCACTCATTCTGTTTCTTTTGAACTCTAACACTAACATTTCATGATGATTACATGATCCATTTATACATGGTTGAATTGTTCCAGATTCTACCAGAAAATCAATCCAAATTTCTCAATGCATTCATGTTGATTGGACAAAATTTAAAATTTATCAGCCTGTTTCCAGAGAAACTCATATATTCCCTAATGAAATGTAATTTTTGCTACATTTATTTCAATCAAATTTCAAAAAATTGACTGCAGAGCTTGAAAAGGTGATGAATCATGTTGTTATTAGATGTACATATTAGATTTACTATTTCCAAAAAAATGCTCAAATTTGAATAGTTTTTAGAAAATTTGGAATTACACTCCTTACATTATATATAATTAAATGTTTAAATTTTATTTATTTTTCCCTTTTAATTTTATAACGTGCTCTATCAAAACTAACCTCTCAATTGAAGGCCACAAAATCTAAGTAGTGAGGGTACACAAATTTTGTATGGAGTACGGTTCAATTTTTGAGAGCCTCACTACTTAGATTTTGTGACTACCTTATTTGATAAAATAATTAAAGATATTAAAAGAAAGACAAAACATTTCAAATTTACATCTGCACCTTGTTCAACTAAGAACCTAACAACTTCAATTGAGATTGCTTTGATTGCAATAGTGAGAAGAGATTCATTAAAATCGAGATAATGTCAGAAGCACATAATAAATATGATATGAAAAAGAATTTTATATAATATTGATAAATATAAATAGAAATATAATGGAATGCGACATTGAAAGACAAAAAAAAAAAAAAAGAAAGAGAATGTCATAATGCAATGATAGATTTCAAATGAAAGAAAATTATATGAAATATTGATTGATATTAGAAGCTAGAGAATGAAATAAAGCAATGATAAATAAGTTTCTCGTTGACATCTACGCCTTTTTCGAATATTAATCTAAGAATTTCAATTGAGTTCATTCTGATTACGAGACTTAGGGGACATTCATTAATATATAGCGAACATCATAAAATAATGGTCGATGTGTAAAGAAATTGAATTTTATAAAATATTGAGAGGTACGGAAATAAAGAAAATATAATACTCTTTGAAATCGGCACCATTAGAATATAAATATGATACGACATCATAATTTCCGAAATACAAGCTTTTCGTAAATGAATCAGGCTTTTGTCGAAAATTCGAATGGAGATACTCAGCAATTTCATAGTTATGATGATTCAATGCTGTATTAATCATATTGTCGAATGATTCATCATCTTCTATCATTTGCATAAATATGTTATTATTTCCTCCTTGAACAGAAAACTTTGCAGATTTTTCAGTATAATCAGCTCCCATGTTCTTCAAGTAATTGAAACATAATTCTGAGCCGTATTTGATTGAACAATCAAGAGGAGTGATTTCATCATTAATTTTATGATTAAGATCAAGATTTGGGAACTTATTTTTGAGATCATCAACTTTATCAAATGAAATGTAGTATAATGGAGAATCTGTTGAATATAAATTCAGAATTTCTTCTTGTGTAAATTTAGGTTCGAAATTTTCGAATTTGATGCCTTTATAATATAAAAGAGATGATAATTTATCATTTTTAGGTTTGATGATGAATGAAAATTCGTTGGACAGCTTTTGATAAAATTCTGAAAAAGTTTCAATATCTTTAACACGAATTGTTGAAAAAATATCAATCAAATAAAATGCCAATTGGACAGATATTTTGTTATTTTTAATAAGATCTATAATTTCTGAAGATACTTGCAAAAGATTATTCGAATTGACACTCCATATTGTTTTTGAAGCCTGATCAGGGTATTTGAATACCTCTGTAGGCTGTAATCCCATAAAATTCAGTTCATTTTCATGAGAATGCTGCTCAGAACTTGTCATATTTTTAACAATTTTAATTCAAAAAGTGGAAAAATGTGATGTAACTTTTGGAAAATTTTTTATGTAAAAAATGCCATTATAAATTACGATTGTTATTACAATTAATCAAGATGAATTCAATTTTATTAACTTTTTGGATGCTAAAACTGTTGCATGCTAAGTAGTGTCAATGTGTAAACCTCTCAATTTTATCGTCGGGGAAGCAACACAATTCCCCAAAAAATATTGAAAAAATATAGAAAATAAAATGAATTAAGATGTACTTAAAATGAGAAATAGATTGTGATATTAGATTTTAGAAAAAACAGACTTTTGATATAACTTTTGAGAATCTCATATAAAAAAAGCATTTAAAAATAAATTTAAATATCTTATTTATTTTACTATTGTAAATATATTCTGAGATTTTTAGAAAAAAATACTTTTCATAAGTATTCAATATTTGAGAATACGGTCCAAAAAAAAATAGATTCTCTTATATTTGCTTATATAAAAGGAAACTCTCGATCAGATGCGAATGCATGAATTCAGCACCTCTGATAGAGAGTTTCCTCTTATATAAGCGGATCTTTTTCATGAGTTATTGTTAATATAAAAACATAAAAAGCTACCAATATGAGAAATTAAACCCTGCGAGGTGCCAGTCTAGAACTGGCGCTTCGCAGGGTTTAATTTCTCTTGACAAATGACCAAACTTGTTCGCAATTGTGAACCATTGCGAGTAAGTTTGCCAGATATCTGGAAGGAATTGCTCCTTATGATATATGCATTGTAACTGTATATATCATAAAGAGCAATTCCTTCAATTAAACGCAAAAACTTTGGTGCAATCGTTGCTGATTGCACCAAAGTTTTCGAACTTTCCCGAGGGAATTGGAGGGTGAGAGATACATAGTCTATCTATGTACCTCCCACCCTCAAAATCCCACTCTAAATGGGAGAAACTTTGTTCGCATGTTATCTTATTCAAACAAAGTTTCTCCCATTTAGAGAAGGAATAGGAGCCTACCAGGCACTGATATATAATCAGTGCTTTGTAGGCTCCTATTCCTAATAAAAATTTGAAAACTTTGGAGCATTTGATTATTGTATTTTGTCAAGAGAAATTCAACCCTGCGAAGTGCCAGTTCTAGACTGGTGTCTCGCAGGGTTTAATTTCTCATATTGGTAGATTTTGATGTTTTTATATTAACAAAAACGAATGAAAAAGATTTGCTTATATAAGAGGAAACTCTCTATCAGAGGTGCTGAATTCAGGCATTCGCATCTGATAGAGAGTCTCTTTTTATATAAGCGAATATAAAAGAATCTATTCTTTTTTGGAGCGTATTTTCAAATATTGAATACTTATGAAAAGTGTTTTTCCTAAAAATTTAATATAATGCTTAGCACAATATATAAAATTAAAATATCTATAATTATTTTCTATATCACACTTTTCATTACACCTTGAAAAGTCTTCTCAAACTCTATTTTTAATTATTTTTTAGATATATCTCAAGTGTGATTATTCAAAAACTCATATAGACTATATTTATTTTTTTCATTCAAAAAATTATATGAGAATCTCAAATTAACTTTCAAATTTTTTATTTTAAAAACATATTAATAATCATATTTTAAGATACTTTTTCGCCCAAAAAATAATCGTACTTCCTCGACGATTAATAGGATCTCAATTTCTATCGTTGACACTACTTCGCATGCAACATATACATATTATTCTGTATCGCTTACGTCAATTGTGAAAGAAGTAGCAAGGAACTTGTTTCTCGATGTTTCGATGATCCTTGTTCCCAATTCACTATTTGACTCTATAACAAAATTGTTTGGAGGGAAGAAAACAGAATCTTTTGAAGAAATTCTTTTGTTTTCAATCCATCCGAGCTCTGATTCAAGCATTTGAACAATATCATCGCATTCACCGAGGAACTGAGCATTAAAGTTCGTTGTAACTGGTGCACGATTGATTAAAATCGAAGGAACACTTGACATTAAGTCTGGGAGTTCAGAAATTGGTGCAACTCTTAATGATGTTCCTATGACAATTAAAAGGTCCGCTTGTTCGGCATCTGCAAATGCTTGTTTCTCGTCCAAATTGGTTGGTTGTTCAAAGAAGACGATTCCGGGCTTGATTGGGCCGCCACATTGTTTGCATTGCGGAACAACCCTCTGTTCAACGCTGGGTCTGAGATCTTCGATGGATTGAACTAATCCGCATTGCATGCAACGGCATTCGCGCCAGGAACCATGAACACAAACAAGCTTTTCATCTGGAATGCCTTTTTCTAGTGTATCTACGTTCTGGGAATAGACACGAAGGAGTTTTCCTTTTTGTTCTAGCATTTCTATAAAGATGTGGGAGCCAGAATGTTGGGGATTGGCAGATGGGAATATTGTATGAGCATAGCGCCAGAAGATAGAAGGATCTTCCTCGAAATACTGATTATCGAAGACTTTGCAAGGGTCATCAAAGACTCCATCTTTGGCAATTGAGTCATACAACCCACCAGGAGAGCGGAAGTCGGGTCCTACTGAACCGCCCGCCCCTAATAATATAACTATGTTGTGTGATTTATCTATCAAGTCAATGATGCGATCAAGATCTGTATAATATTCACGCGGTTTCTTTGCGCGAAGCCCATCGGCTGCAGAGGCAAGTCTGTATAGCAGTCTCCAGATATCTTCTTCTGGAGCCTGGAACTGAGCCTTGACTTCGTCCACATCCCGATTCAAGAGGCCAGCTAGCATTTCCCAAGGACATTTGCCTTCTTCTAAAGCATTGATTACGGCAAAGCTCTGGGAGAGCATTTGAACCCTACAACGATTATTTTCCTCTCAAAAACAAAATAATCCCGCCAAAGCCTGTCAAAATTTAGTTTTCCTAACAAGGTTCATCTACCTATTTTTTTCTAATACTCTTGCTAATAATTACATTTTTAGGGCGAAAAATTTCTATTGTTTCGGTTAATCTTTCTATCGTAATTTACGTTGACATAATCGGATTTTAAAATTTGGTGACAGTAATTAATATTATCTAATAAATCAACAATCAAAATTTCGACATAATCGTTTTCATTTCAATTTCCTGACTGTTATGTTAATTCATATTTTTCCCGCCATAACAGTTGATTTACATTTAATTTGCTGGAATCGATTTCTAGAATCCCTTGATACAAGTCTGTTTGTTCCTTTAAGTATCCACCCCCAACAATTCCTTTTACTACTTTTTCATAGTGGAAGAAATTGTTCTATTTATTGATAATTTAGACGTCTATATTAAAAACATGTATTATATAAACCCTAAGAGTTACTGATATTTGACAAATATTAAACTTTTCTGCTAATTATTAATTGAAATTACCAATATTACAAATTTAAGAATTGGCATGTCAGTATCTTATTAAGTGCCAGAGGTATGTTCAGAATGTTCTATATGAGATTGAAAAATAGTTGCATTTATTTTGGTATTGATCATGACAAAAAGTAATGCTTCGTGAAATTGCTAAAGAGCTATAAATCATTATAAATTGCTAAAGATTTTTAATGACCATATTCTCGTTTTATTATATTGACGCTGCACACCGATAAATAAATTCCCTGAATAAAGTGGCATGTCAGTTGGGTAGGGTTGTTAAAAATATCAAAAATTAGCGTTTTGAAGACACCATGGTGTCTTATAATTTTCCCTTCCTTATTGGCGTGTAGAAATAAATGCGCCAATAGATTGAAGAAGAGGTAGGGTAACGATAGGTCAAAAAGGCTTCTCTGATAGATTTCCTTGCCTTTTGGATATGCTATAATATATAGCCTAGCATGATAGGATATGATGTCAAAAGTTAGAACATAACTTAGGATCTTGAGAAAAATGAAAAACAAAAATTACATAAAAAAAGAAAAAATTTATCTAATTTGTTTTTTTGGACCGAATAAGTAATTTTATTGAATTTCAATACGACACATAGATTTATTATTAGTATTAAATATAATGGTTTACTATTAACAAGGAACCTAAACTAATGAAAATTTGATTTCAAATATTGTATATGATTATCATAGATTACCAAAATATATTGCTATTTATGAGGATATAATATTGATTATTAGTAAATCGTATAAATTTAATAAATATACCATGAATATTGAATGAATTTCTTGATTCATAGGGGTAAAACGCGCTTTTATATGATTTAGACAGAGAATTTATGAGATGTAAATAACACAATAAAGGTTTATATTGAATATTTTCTAAAAATAAATCGAAATTATAAAAAAACAATACATTTATTCATTGAAACTACTTGGACAAATATGAAACAAGCATTCAGGCAATACTTTTGAGACTTCAACGCATCTGATAATTTTTATATAACTTCACCTCTTATGCTTAGAGTGGAGGTATTGAGATCGTATAAGTATAGATGAGCTCACATTCAGATATGATGTGTGAACTTCTGTTTTCACTGCAATTTTGAATCAGAATAAACTCAAAACAAGAATAAAATGATATACTCACTCTCTAAATGTGTTCGAGATTTAAAGTTGTATGAATAAAACGATTCATCTTTCGAAGCCTCCCATTTAATGAGAGACTTCGAAAGATGAATGTATTCATGTAGATAAAATACTAATATGACCATGTGTGATACTAAAGATATCAAAATGTTCATTTTTAAGTGCAATAGAAGGGTTATCTCTCGTAAAATCTCAATTTAAGGAAGATTTAGAAAGAACTCCTTTCCTAAGTAGATAGTGTGTGGTTTCTGTCTTTTGGTTGATCAGGAACTATGAAATTAAGTCGGACAGAAAGAAGTTCTTTCCAAAACAGACTCCAAATGAGTTGTTCGAAAAGAACTTCCTTCTGTATATGGATAATTGTAGTTACCGCACTGAAGTATGTGATTGTGATGATGGAGTTCTCGATAAATCTAAAATCGGATTAAGATTAATTGAAAACTCAAGTAATTCTTTGAAATCTTGTGTTGTCTGGCACTATAATAACCAAAGAATGAGAATATTATGTTGAATGATGAGTACGTGTGCTCGGCATTCGCCGAGCGAATTGAGTTTAACGTACTATGAAAAGTGACAAATTTGGGCTTTTTTTCCTAGGGTTATGATCTCTTCCTTTCTGCTCAATACGACAGAAATGAAAGAATGAATTTGTACTCCCTAATTGATTACTACAATCTGTATCTATCTTTAACATAGAATTAGCTGCATTGTGATTTATACTCCAGAATTATTCAATTTAAGATCAACCTCGTAAATTTTAATCATATTGCATCAATACTCCTACGTTGAGATAAGAACATGATTATACATACCAAAGCCCCATATTAAAAATCAAAAATTTAGCACCTCCATTATGCAACCACATTATTCGTCGCAAATAAGTATATTTACGTATATTATGATGCATATTCACACAACTCGTATACATGAAAAGTTATTAAAATCAGACAAAATTATTGCAATAAGGAAAAAAAAACAACTTTATTATATATGTTAGTAATGAATTACAAATATTTCTACAAAGAATGCTCAATACTTCATATAATCTTCGAATATTTCTTATTACAAGTTAATACATTTTGACTCGAACATGATAAACAAAAGCCGACACGCTGATTACTACATTTATGAAAATATAGTACGTTTTCCATTCATCTGTTTACTTGTTTTTGTTGGAATAAAATCATTTTTTTTTTCTTTTATGAAATAAGAATTTTGCTGCGAAAGCAATATCTCTAACAATAATTAATACATTACGTCAACTCTGGAATGAGTATTTATCAAATATGATATCAAAATCAAAAATTAGTTGTTTTTTATGAGTAAAAACGATGTAAATTGATTATTTGACTAATTATCAAATACTTTGATTTTCCAAATTTTTTTCGAAATTGATTTTTTCATGTGAAAATTCAAATTGTTTAATTTCATTTTTGAAATTTTGAATTTTTTTTGGAATTTTGAGTTGATCAATTCAGCAGAATTGATAATGCTATTGCTTTAGGGCATACCACAAGGTGATGAATAAAAGGTGAACATTAACAAATTATTTTAAATCACAAATATCATCCTCATCAACTTTAATTCTAAAAAGAACTGTACTGAATTATGAAAATGCATGATTTACATTATTAAAAATCTTTGAATGAAATAGTACAAGATAAGTTTTTATTCATTTTTAATTAGATTTTAAACGAAAAACTACTCCATATTAAAATTTAAGTCGAGAAATCGTATTTTGTTCTTATTTGTTAGCATTTTGTAGACATTCTAATCTTGAATTAATTTGTTACATGATATTATTAAACAAATTAACTGAAAAAATATGTTAATATGGAATAAACCATGATTATATAAGCTATCAATGCTATATATACATATGTAAAAGATTCATATTAACTCAATTAACAAAAATGATAGATTTTCATAAAGGTTCAATCTAGGTTCGTCCGAAAATTTTGATTTTTATATAGAAGACATAGTTTCATATACATAATTAAATTTTCAAACAAATTTGATCATACCATTTATTAAGCAGGATAGTATATTAATTACTATCAGTATAAAAATATAAAAATGATTATATTTAATTATTGCATAATTTAGTCAAAGAGTTATAAGCCTCAAGTGATCGTTATCACCTTCAATGCACGTATACTTTATTGATTCATAGATATTTAATCTATGTTTGACATGTTGTTGTCGTCATTCGTTTTGTTCCCATTCTTCCTAAGTTAGAATTAGAGAATACACCATCCACATCATCTAATTTGGTCCTCAGCGATAGATTGGTTCATTTTGGAGGAGTCCCATCAGACAGTTTTCGAGCACCAAATATCAAATTTTAATGTATACAAATCTTTAGTGATTTATCTCTTTTATGATGAGTAAAAGGTTTCTGCTCATCAACATTTGATTTCCGACATATATGATTTCTAATTGCAATTATTTACTTTCTTTTTATAATCTAACTCTGTGACTCATACCATAAATTAATTATTGGAAAGTGTCAATATGTTTGGCACAACGCATGGCGGAAGATACCAAACCATGCAGGGAATATGATACGTTTAAGATCTCCGAACTTTTTTTCCAAAAATTTTCTATCGTTGCCCTACCTCTATTGAAGAAGAAGAATTGTTTTTCTCTTAATGAACTTTAATCCTTTTGATATAAGAATATTAAAAACATTAATATAATTTCGATTTCGGAAATTAAATTTCCAAATTTTTTGTCGATTTCGGAAATAACAGGATCCCGCATCCAACACGCAACAACAAAACACAAAACACACTTTTTGGTTCTTTCATCGTTTTAATCGTAATTTATGTAATACATGATTTGGATAAATTTTACAAAAATAGAACCTATATTATATTCTTTTCAAAGATTCTTGCAAATCATCAAAAATAATTGTATTTTAAAAAACGATCAAATTATCCTTTCATTATTTTAAACTTAAATTAGTTTTTATGATTGACTAAAGCAATTATATTTATTCATCATTAAATAAACAAAAAAATAATATTTGAGAGTTATTTCAAAAAAAAACACATTGAATTTATTAATTTGTCTCAATTTCAGTATTATAAATTTTTATAATTTCAATATTTTGAAATACACTTTTTAATATTTCAATATTTATGATATTTCAATGTATTAAGTGGTCTCAAATTGAGCTTCTCAAATATAAGTTGGCCTATTCAAATAATAAAATTAAATAATATTTAAAATAATAAATAAAAGTGATTGAGGTCATAGCAAAACGGCTGTTTCAGTCATTAATTCTTAAAAATAAAAAGGGTAAAAACTTAATAAAATGGGTAAAATTCAATAGTGTCCGTGCTATCGTTCAATTTGAAGGTGTCTTTTGAAACCGCAAAACACATTGAATTTCTGAATAGTGTATTATGGTTTGACAGACACCAATGAAAAAAATAAAATGATATTTATTTTAAATATATAAGATCCTTATATAAAATATAAATATTTTATCGTTTTATTTTCTTGTTTTAGAAATGTTTTTTATTGAAAAATCAATAAAACTAACTCCAAAATAAAATTTTTGATTTAAAGACATTATGATGACACCAGGCAAATCTTCCAAGACACCTATCGTCGGGAATCTAACAACCCTAGGTTTGGGGCAATCAGTAAATGAAATCGATTGCGATTTTAGCAATCTTGGACTAATTGATGTATTCAAATACCCTGTTCAGGCTTCAAAAACAATATGAAGTGTCAATTCGAATAATCTTTTGCAAGTATCTTCAGAAATTATAGATCTTATTAAAAATAACAAAATATCTGTCCAATTGGCATTTTATTTGATTGATATTTTTTCAACAATTCGTGTTAAAGATATTGAAACTTTTTCAGAATTTTATCAAAAGCTGTCCAACGAATTTTCATTCATCATCAAACCTAAAAATGATAAATTATCATCTCTTTTATATTATAAAGGCATCAAATTCGAAAATTTCGAACCTAAATTTACACAAGAAGAAATTCTGAATTTATATTCAACAGATTCTCCATTATACTACATTTCATTTGATAAAGTTGATGATCTCAAAAATAAGTTCCCAAATCTTGATCTTGAAAAGAAAATTAATGATGAAATCACTCCTCTTGATTGTTCAATTAAATACGGCTCAGAATTATGTTTCAATTACTTGAAGAACATGGGAGCTAAATATACTGTTTACTCTGAATTATATGCAGTTGAAGGCGGGAACAATAACATTTTTATGCAAATGATAGATGATGGTAAATCATTCGATAAAATGATTAATTTCGCATTGGATTATTGAAACTACGAAATTGCAGAATACCTTAAATCATATTCTGGCCAAACTTTTGATTCAATTGCAGAAAACATGTATTTCGGAAACTATGAAGTTACTTCAGAATTATTTTCTAAAGGTGCCGATTTCGATAATATAGGGTGTCCAAAGGTGCGTTTAGCACAGCGCTCTATATGAGACTATTAAAGGAGATATATGCTGATTATAAATATATAATAAAAAATATGAATATATGTATATGATGAGTATGTTGTATTTTGGCGCCATGCCGGTATATAAAATGAATTTTGAGACAAGAGGCGGTTTTGCGGGAAATTTTGGCGGGATTTTTTTCATTTTTTTAATGAATCATAAAGAAAACATCCTCGCTCTTGCAAAAAAATGCAAAGACTGTAAAAAAATCTACGAGACATTGGTAAAATGCTTCGGTATGGATGCTCCTAGCTATTCCACTGTAACGTATCATGTTAGGATGTATCACTTCATGAACAAAAAGGCGCCCATCATAAAAATTGACAAAAAATCGCCGGATCAAAGAAAAATCAAAGCAATTCTTCAAGTGCTAGATGAAGACCCAAGAGCATCACTCAGAAGGATAGAGGAGATGACAAAGATACCACGTACAACAGTCAGTTATTATCTGCACAATTATTTGAACTACAAACTAGCGTATACACGTTGGTTCCGCACAACCTTAATTCAGTTCAAAAAAAATCTAGAGTCCAATCTTCGAAAGAGCTCCTCTCTATATTGCGTGCGTATCAATCCAAGAAGTTTCGCTTTTTAGTAACAGGGACAAGTCTTGGTTTCAATATGCAACAGAAGCCAAAATCATGTGGATCCCGAAGGATGAAAATCCGCAAACATTCCCGAAGAAAAAAATTGACACACCAATGATGATGTTGTCGGTTTTTTGGGGCGTGAATGGCATCATCGCAATTGATATTCTTCAAAAACCTAATACGATGAATGCTCAGTATCTAATTGACAATGTTCTTACTCAAATTATCAATTCTGATGAGTTTGAGAAATCCAAACAACAAAAACAAAAGTTTGCAATTCATTTTGATAATTCAAGAGTTCACAAAAGTCATAAGGTAATGAATTACTTGTTGGAAAACAATGTCAAAGTTGTTCCAAACCCAATTTATTCACCTGATATTGCACCCTCTGACTTTTATTTATTCGGCACGCTAAAAAAGAGAGCTGAAGGACGCGAATTCGCGAGTCCAGATGATCTTGAAAATTTTGTAAGAGAGCAATTTGAGCAATTTTCTCATGATGATTTAAAGCGTGTCTTTCAAGCCTGGATCGATCGCTGCGAACGCGTGATTGAATCCAATGGTGATTATATTTAAATAAACTTTATATATATGTAACTTGTTTATTTCTATTCGCAGTATTCAGGTTTGTGCTAAACACACCTTTGGACACCCTATATTGAAGATTGTTATTGCATTCCCATTCTGTTCATATTGATCATTTCATTATGAAGTTCTTTCGATTTTAATGATTACCCTCTGAGTATTGCAATCAAAACAAATTCATTAGAAATTGTCACCTTCTTACTTGAACATGATGATGATGTAAACACGAGTCCAATTCTATTTCTCTTCATACTTATCATTATTTTATAACATTTACCATCTTTTCCTATCAATAATTGTTTTATGCAATTCACTTTCTTTTCATGCTTGTCATTGTTTTATTGGCTTTTCTTTCTTATTATGTTTACCATTCTTTTCTAGAATTCGTTTTCTTTTCATATATATCATTTTTATATGGAATTTTAGTTAGTATACAAGTCTTGGGTATGGTGGCACTGCGTTCCACCTTACCCAATACTTGTGAATTTGACACTTTACAAAACCGTTAACGTATATTTTACAACACAAACACAAACACCAACTTAACCTTAAATATTTATAAAGCCGCCAACAATTTCACCTCACTATCGTTCTCACTAACGACTTCACTAATGTTCTCATAAATTTTCCTCAATATCTTCATCATCAGTGTTAACCCTATTGTAGTCATACTTGAAGCCATAAACTTTCTCTAACTTCTTAACGTACAATTTACATAACTTACCTTCGTCATCGTATGGTTTAATGATATAACTATTTCTATCTTTATAAACAGTCAATGAAAAGTCAACTGGTCTCGGATGTATTTGAAAGAACATGTTATGCTCAGGAAGGAAGAATAAATGTTTAAATGTATGTTTTTATATGTTTTGATTTGTATGAGTTGCTTTTGTTCTGTCATTGCATCCAAATAAAATAAAAATAATTTTAAAAAATAAAATAAAAAATAAATGATATCACCACCCTCACACGTATGAAAACATAGCACAAAAATAAATTTAGGTGAAGTGGTGAGATCTAACCCGATTTCTACCCTGTTGAATTCATTGCTTTCTCCAACTCTTCTAACTTCTTCTTAAGTTCAGCAATGTTGTCCTCATGAAGTTTAATCTTTCTCAAAATTCCTTCTTTATCTAATGGTTGCTTTATCTTTCTAAACTGAACTCTACCATCCTTCATAGTATGAATGTAAAAACCTTCTGGAATAATTCCTGATTTAATGTATTCTACCAAAAACTTTTGTTTCATTGCTTCAGTGACTTTATTTGTCATTTTACTCTAAGGTGAAGCTAGCACAGCGATAATGGATTTCATGACTTTTTAGTATTTCATGCAATCTTAACAGATAGCCTTACAAGTACTTCGAGTGTCCCTAGCTGTCCCTCCTTTTTATATAACTCCATGACATTTATAATCTCGCGAAACTTAACAGGTAGCATAACAGATTAAAATCAGATGAGGTTTTGAACCAAAATTTCTAAGCAACGTTGTCAAGGATTTTGAGGAACTAGGGACAGAGTGTGGCAAAGTCCAAGATTTAATTTATCTTCATCTGTTTCATCAGCTATTCATCTAATATGCCAATATTTTATTCATAACTCGTGGCAAACTCACAACTTTCATTATGTTCATCTGCATGCTTCATCTGATAGAAAGTATGACTTTCATTAACTCTGTGAGATAATGAAAACTACTAGGGACAGAGACCATGGCAAAGTTTATGACTTTCATTATTTCCAGAACTTAATGAAAACTACTAGGGACAGAGACCATGGCAAAGTTCATGATTTAATTTATTCTCTCACTAACAACAAACACAAACTCCAACACTAACGACAAGTACTAACCTCAGCACAAATGACAAACACTAACAACAAAACACAAACTCCAACACTAACGACAAGTACTAACCTCAGCACAAATGACAAACACTAACAACAAACACAAACTCCAACACTAACATCAAGTACTAACTTCAGCACAAATGACAAACACTAACAACAAACACAAACTCCAACACTAACGATAAGTACTAACTTCAGCACAAATGACAAACACAAATGACAAACACAAACTCCAACACAAACTTCAGCACAAATGACAAACACAAACTCCAACACTAACGATAAGTACTAACTTCAGCACAAATGACAAACACAAATGACAAACACAAACTCCAACACTAACGACAAGTACTAACTTCAGCACAAATGACAAACACAAACTCCAACACTAACGACAAGTACTAACTTCAGCACAAATGACAAACACAAATGACAAACACAAACTCCAACACTAACATCAAGTACTAACTTCAACACTAACAACAAAAATAAATGTCCTCACTTCTTAACAAAGTAATATGTGCTTCTTACACCACCATAGCTCAAACGTTTCTTTTCAAACATCGATTGAAACTTATTTTGAGCCATTGGCTTTAGTCTCTTTTTCTTCAAATACGCCAAGAAATCTTCTTCACATCTTTTCACTTCATAGCCTTCTTTAAACTCCTCCTTGTTAAGTTCTATGAAATCCTTTATATCATTCTTTGTTGCAATGGCTTCTTCACGAACGACATCATGAACTATTTCATCACTGTTCTCATGTATGACCTCCTCACTGTTCTCATGAACTATTTCATCACTGTTCTCATGTATGACCTCCTCACTGTTCTCATGAACTATTTCAATACTGTTCTCATGAACGACCTCCTTACTGTCTTTCATAAGCGTTTCAAAGTCTCCTTTACTCATTACTTCAATCTCATGCTGTTCACAGTAGTACTTAAACTCACTGTATATGTCTTTGTTGTATGTTATATTGCTTCCCATGTACTCCATGAATTTTTCAAGCACTTCCTCATAATTCACTGTTTCTTTCTTTCCACGACCTTCTAATATCATACTTGCTTCGTAAATATAACTTCTTGCAGAACCATCTCGCTTTCTACTTCTCTTCACAAATTCTCTCATCTTGCCACTAAATACATTTGAACTACATGCAAAGAATTCATTCTCCTTCGCAAATTCTTTATATCTTCTGTAGCACTCTGTACAATTCCATCCGGATACAAACTTTTCATAGAACTCCTCGTAAAACATTTGGTAAGGTGTTTTGTTCATTTCGATGAGTTCTTGTTTAGCCCTGGTGAATGGTATCTTCCTTACATCAAATTCACTTAAATCTTTCTTCATGAAGTACGTCAGTAAGTTTGAATAAAACTCTTCATTAAAGCTTTCAATGAGATTTGAGAAATATTCGTAATTTCCTTTGTATCTGCTGCTTACGTCAATGACAACAAATCTTCTGTCGTCTTTGTCAATCTTTACTGAGTTGAAGTTGTTAGATATCATGATGATATTACAAACATTCTCTATCTTTCTTACTGGTTGACACTTCTGATTTAAGTCCAACTGAGTCTCTGTTACTATTGACTTTAGTGCGTCGTGGTTCATGACCTTAGACGTATCACATGAGCTTAGTTCATTGCATACGATGAGCTTCATGTTCTCAATAGCAGCATTGAATCTACCAACCACATTCTCTATTGCCGTTATATTATTGTTGGCGTACTTGCTAATGAGCTCGCATAGAACATTACTAAGTACATTCTTACCAGTTCCTTGCTTTCCTATTAACAAAAGTACTGTTCCAGTCTTTCCACAAGGATTTTGAACGATGTAGGCGAACCAGTTCAAAACATACTCATAAAGCTCTTCATCCTCATTACATATGACATCGTGAACATGTTTCAAATATCCTTCAATAACGCTTTCATCTACTTCATTCAGTACCTCATACTCATATCCTCTGAAATAGCTGTAGATGTCATCTCTTTCGTCAAAGAATCTCATGCCTGACTTCATAAGATAGTTCTTGTTCTGACCCGCTTCATAAATCATCAGTGCGTTCACATCCTTCTCCTCAATACGTCCTACATAAATACTCTTCATGAGCTTATTGAATTCCTTGCTATCTACTGACACAAGTGTTGTTGTGTCTCGTATTCCATCATAATCTTTCACTAGATATGTCATACGTGCTCCGTCAATAACAACAACACATCTTCTTAAGTCATTTATAACACTAGCTATGTCAATACCTTCTTCACTCATGTACTTATTTCTTCTCAAGTCCTTTAGTGTGAAAGTGTCTCTAAGTTCTATTTCAAGCAATTCATTTACACATCCTTTGCAATACTTCTCTATAAAATATTTCTGTCGTTCTTTACTAAGTTTCTTAACAGCTCTGAAGAACCATGTGTTTTGACTCAAACATCCTTCACAACTTCTCTCATTCATTCCTAGTTCTTTCATGTCATTGACTTCTTCTGTAATGTTAGATGTTGTTGTTTCGCTCATGTTCTTTCACTAATGTTAAAAAGTTCTGTTGTACGAATTTTGAACAGAATTTAGAGCAGTTATGAAACAATGAAGTATTTTTACGCTATTGAAAGGAACTATGAGAGTGAAGTACATGACAGCAATGACAAAAGGAACTAATATCAAACCTAATGAAATCGCTCACGAGGACATAGAGCTTAACAAGTACTTTGTGGAATATCTTATAAGTGAAGAGTATGTAAGACCTTACTTCATGTTTGACAGCATGAATGAGGATGTTATTTCATGGTTAAAGAATATAAGCAATGTTTTCGGTAAGTACGTCATAGATGACAAAGGTCTTGTTGTATTTTATGAGACAGCAATACGAACACAGGAACTAATGGATATTATGCATTCAACAGCAAAGAAAGGATTTAGTACTATTGGCATGAATGAACATTGCAGGAATGACATATACAACCTATGCTCACGAAAGCCTTACACAAAAGCAATACAAATGATAGAACATAAGTGTCTAAGGTCAGCAAATGAAATATTACTGTCAGTGGTTATGAAAGAACTGTTAGCAAAGATGAGTGGAAACAGCTATTCATATTAAGGAAGGACGTTGCTGAACTAGTTAAACCTGTTGCACAAACATTGTTTCAGATAAGACCAGCAATGACTAAGAACCCTTTGACCTTAGTCAATGAGACCATAGAGGTTGAAGATAATGACATGAAAGAACTAGGAATGAATGAGAGAAGTTGTGAAGGATGTTTGAGTCAAAACACATGGTTCTTCAGAGCTGTTAAGAAACTTAGTAAAGAACGACAGAAATATTTTATAGAGAAGTATTGCAAAGGATGTGTAAATGAATTGCTTGAAATAGAACTTAGAGACACTTTCACACTAAAGGACTTGAGAAGAAATAAGTACATGAGTGAAGAAGGTATTGACATAGCTAGTGTTATAAATGACTTAAGAAGATGTGTTGTTGTTATTGACGGAGCACGTATGACATATCTAGTGAAAGATTATGATGGAATACGAGACACAACAACACTTGTGTCAGTAGATAGCAAGGAATTCAATAAGCTCATGAAGAGTATTTATGTAGGACGTATTGAGGAGAAGGATGTGAACGCACTGATGATTTATGAAGCGGGTCAGAACAAGAACTATCTTATGAAGTCAGGCATGAGATTCTTTGACGAAAGAGATGACATCTACAGCTATTTCAGAGGATATGAGTATGAGGTACTGAATGAAGTAGATGAAAGCGTTATTGAAGGATATTTGAAACATGTTCACGATGTCATATGTAATGAGGATGAAGAGCTTTATGAGTATGTTTTGAACTGGTTCGCCTACATCGTTCAAAATCCTTGTGGAAAGACTGGAACAGTACTTTTGTTAATAGGAAAGCAAGGAACTGGTAAGAATGTACTTAGTAATGTTCTATGCGAGCTCATTAGCAAGTACGCCAACAATAATATAACGGCAATAGAGAATGTGGTTGGTAGATTCAATGCTGCTATTGAGAACATGAAGCTCATCGTATGCAATGAACTAAGCTCATGTGATACGTCTAAGGTCATGAACCACGACGCACTAAAGTCAATAGTAACAGAGACTCAGTTGGACTTAAATCAGAAGTGTCAACCAGTAAGAAAGATAGAGAATGTTTGTAATATATCATCATGATATCTAACAACTTCAACTCAGTAAAGATTGACAAAGACGACAGAAGATTTGTTGTCATTGACGTAAGCAGCAGATACAAAGGAAATTACGAATATTTCTCAAATCTCATTGAAAGCTTTAATGAAGAGTTTTATTCAAACTTACTGACGTACTTCATGAAGAAAGATTTAAGTGAATTTGATGTAAGGAAGATACCATTCACCAGGGCTAAACAAGAACTCATCGAAATGAACAAAACACCTTACCAAATGTTTTACGAGGAGTTCTATGAAAAGTTTGTATCCGGATGGAATTGTACAGAGTGCTACAGAAGATATAAAGAATTTGCGAAGGAGAATGAATTCTTTGCATGTAGTTCAAATGTATTTAGTGGCAAGATGAGAGAATTTGTGAAGAGAAGTAGAAAGCGAGACGGTTCTGCAAGAAGTTATATTTACGAAGCAAGTATGATATTAGAAGGTCGTGGAAAGAAAGAAACAGTGAATTATGAGGAAGTGCTTGAAAAATTCATGGAGTACATGGGAAGCAATATAACATACAACAAAGACATATACAGTGAGTTTAAGTACTACTGTGAACAGCATGAGATTGAAGTAATGAGTAAAGGAGACTTTGAAACGCTTATGAAAGACAGTAAGGAGGTCGTTCATGAGAACAGTATTGAAATAGTTCATGAGAACAGTGAGGAGGTCATACATGAGAACAGTGATGAAATAGTTCATGAGAACAGTGAGGAGGTCATACATGAGAACAGTGATGAAATAGTTCATGAGAACAGTGAGGAGGTCATACATGAGAACAGTGATGAAATAGTTCATGATGTCGTTCGTGAAGAAGCCATTGCAACAAAGAATGATATAAAGGATTTCATAGAACTTAACAAGGAGGAGTTTAAAGAAGGCTATGAAGTGAAAAGATGTGAAGAAGATTTCTTGGCGTATTTGAAGAAAAAGAGACTAAAGCCAATGGCTCAAAATAAGTTTCAATCGATGTTTGAAAAGAAACGTTTGAGCTATGGTGGTGTAAGAAGCACATATTACTTTGTTAAGAAGTGAGGACATTTATTTTTGTTGTTAGTGTTGAAGTTAGTACTTGATGTTAGTGTTGGAGTTTGTGTTTGTCATTTGTGTTTGTCATTTGTGCTGAAGTTAGTACTTGTCGTTAGTGTTGGAGTTTGTGTTTGTCATTTGTGCTGAAGTTAGTACTTGTCGTTAGTGTTGGAGTTTGTGTTTGTCATTTGTGTTGTCATTTGTGCTGAAGTTAGTACTTATCGTTAGTGTTGGAGTTTGTGTTTGTCATTTGTGCTGAAGTTTGTGTTGGAGTTTGTGTTTGTCATTTGTGTTTGTCATTTGTGCTGAAGTTAGTACTTATCGTTAGTGTTGGAGTTTGTGTTTGTTGTTAGTGTTTGTCATTTGTGCTGAAGTTAGTACTTGATGTTAGTGTTGGAGTTTGTGTTTGTTGTTAGTGTTTGTCATTTGTGCTGAGGTTAGTACTTGTCGTTAGTGTTGGAGTTTGTGTTTGTTGTTAGTGTTTGTCATTTGTGCTGAGGTTAGTACTTGTCGTTAGTGTTGGAGTTTGTGTTTGTTGTTAGTGAGAGAATAAATTAAATCATGAACTTTGCCATGGTCTCTGTCCCTAGTAGTTTTCATTAAGTTCTGGAAATAATGAAAGTCATAAACTTTGCCATGGTCTCTGTCCCTAGTAGTTTTCATTATCTCACAGAGTTAATGAAAGTCATACTTTCTATCAGATGAAGCATGCAGATGAACATAATGAAAGTTAGTGAGTTTGCCACGAGTTATGAATAAAATATTGGCATATTAGATGAGATAGCTGATGAAACAGATGAAGATAAATTAAATCTTGGACTTTGCCACACTCTGTCCCTAGTTCCTCAAAATCCTTGACAACGTTGCTTAGAAATTTTGGTTCAAAACCTCATCTGATTTTAATCTGTTATGCTACCTGTTAAGTTTCGCGAGATTATAAATATCATGGAGTTATATAAAAAGGAGAGTTAGTATACATATCTTGGGTACGGCGGCACTGCGTTCCACCTTACCCAACATAACAGTTTGACACTTTACAAAACCGTTAACGTATATTTTACAACACAAACGCAAACGACAACACTAACTTAACCTTAAATATTTACAAAACCACCAACCACTTCACCTCACTAACGTTTTCGCTAACTACTTCACTAATGAAAAAATAAACGTTCTCACTAACGTTCCCACTAATGTTCTCACTTACAAAAGTATTGCAACTCCTCCCATTGCTGTGCTTCACATAACAGCTCATAATCTTCAGTATCGCTGCTGTCACTCCAATCGTCAGAGTCAAAGTCACTGTCAAAATGAATGTTAGTAAGTTTTGACAAAGCTAATGAAACACGTTTACCGTTTGTATCTATTGCTTTTATATATCTCCCATTATGTTTGTTGTCATAAACGCTCAAACTAACTTTACCCTTTCTCCCTCGTATCTGATAGAATGTATTTTCACGAGGAACGAAGAACAAATTCTTGAACTCATGACCGTTGTAGTTTGTTATCTCAATAGTTTTCGTCATTACATCCAAATAAAAATTTTCAGTAAAAATAAAACTAATGTTAAAATTTCTCATAACATAAACGTTCTCATTGCTTTATAACTCTCTTCCTTTCTCCAACTCTTCTAACTTCTTCTTAAGTTCAGCAATGTTGTCCTCATGAAGTTTAATCTTTCTCAAAATTCCTTCTTTATCTAATGGTTGCTTTATCTTTCTAAACTGAACTCTACCATCCTTCATAGTATGAATGTAAAAACCTTCTGGAATAATTCCTGATTTAATGTATTCTACCAAAAACTTTTGTTTCATTGCTTCAGTGACTTTATTTGTCATTTTACTCTAAGGTGAAGCTAGCACAGCGATAATGGATTTCATGACTTTTTAGTATTTCATGCAATCTTAACAGATAGCCTTACAAGTACTTCGAGTGTCCCTAGCTGTCCCTCCTTTTTATATAACTCCATGATATTTATAATCTCGCGAAACTTAACAGGTAGCATAACAGATTAAAATCAGATGAGGTTTTGAACCAAAATTTCTAAGCAACGTTGTCAAGGATTTTGAGGAACTAGGGACAGAGTGTGGCAAAGTCCAAGATTTAATTTATCTTCATCTGTTTCATCAACTATCTCATCTAATATGCCAATATTTTATTCATAACTCGTGGCAAACTCACTAACTTTCGTTATGTTCATCTGCATGCTTCATCTGATAGAAAGTATGACTTTCATTAACTCTGTGAGATAATGAAAACTACTAGGGACAGAGACCATGGCAAAGTTTATGACTTTCATTATTTCCAGAACTTAATGAAAACTACTAGGGACAGAGACCATGGCAAAGTTCATGATTTAATTTATTCTCTCACTAACAACAAACACTAACATTAAGTACTAACTTCAGCACAAATGACAAACGCTAACATCAAGTACTAACTCCAACACTAACATCAAGTACTAACTTCAACTCTAACAACAAACACAAACAACAAACACAAACTCCAACACTAACGACAAAAATAAATGTCCTCACTTCTTAACAAAGTAATATGTGCTTCTTACACCACCATAGCTCAAACGTTTCTTTTCAAACATCGATTGAAACTTATTTTGAGCCATTGGCTTTAGTCTCTTTTTCTTCAAATACGCCAAGAAATCTTCTTCACATCTTTTCACTTCATAGCCTTCTTTAAACTCCTCCTTGTTAAGTTCTATGAAATCCTTTATATCATTCTTTGTTGCAATGGCTTCTTCACGAACGACATCATGAACTATTTCATCACTGTTCTCATGTATGACCTCCTCACTGTTTCATGAACTATTTCATCACTGGTTCTCCATGTACTGACCCATAACTATTATAATTATTTCATACTGTTCTCATATGAACGACCTCCTTACTGTCTTTCATAAGCGTTTCAAAGTCTTCTTTCTCATTACTTCAATCTCATGCTGTTCACAGTAGTACTTAAACTCACTGTATATGTCTTTGTTGTATGTTATATTGCTTCCCATGTACTCCATGAATTTTTCAAGCACTTCCTCATAATTCACTGTTTCTTTCTTTCCACGACCTTCTAATATCATACTTGCTTCGTAAATATAACTTCTTGCAGAACCGTCTCGCTTTCTACTTCTCTTCACAAATTCTCTCATCTTGCCACCAAATACATTTGAACTACATGCAAAGAATTCATTCTCCTTCGCAAATTCTTTATATCTTCTGTAGCACTCTGTACAATTCCATCCGGATACAAACTTTTCATAGAACTCCTCGTAAAACATTTGGTAAGGTGTTTTGTTCATTTCGATGAGTTCTTGTTTAGCCCTGGTGAATGGTATCTTCCTTACATCAAATTCACTTAAATCTTTCTTCATGAAGTACGTCAGTAAGTTTGAATAAAACTCTTCATTAAAGCTTTCAATGAGATTTGAGAAATATTCGTAATTTCCTTTGTATCTGCTGCTTACGTCAATGACAACAAATCTTCTGTCGTCTTTGTCAATCTTTACTGAGTTGAAGTTGTTAGATATCATGATGATATTACAAACATTCTCTATCTTTCTTACTGGCTGACACTTCTGATTTAAGTCCAACTGAGTCTCTGTTACTATTGACTTTAGTGCGTCGTGGTTCATGACCTTAGACGTATCACATGAGCTTAGTTCATTGCATACGATGAGCTTCATGTTCTCAATAGCAGCATTGAATCTACCAACCACATTCTCTATTGCCGTTATATTATTGTTGGCGTACTTGCTAATGAGCTCGCATAGAACATTACTAAGTACATTCTTACCAGTTCCTTGCTTTCCTATTAACAAAAGTACTGTTCCAGTCTTTCCACAAGGATTTTGAACGATGTAGGCGAACCAGTTCAAAACATACTCATAAAGCTCTTCATCCTCATTACATATGACATCGTGAACATGTTTCAAATATCCTTCAATAACGTTCTCATCTACTTCATTCAGTACCTCATACTCATATCCTCTGAAATAGCTGTAAATGTCATCTCTTTCGTCAAAGAATCTCATGCCTGACTTCATAAGATAGTTCTTGTTCTGACCCGCTTCATAAATCATCAGTGCGTTCACATCCTTCTCCTCAATACGTCCTACATAAACACTCTTCATGAGCTTATTGAATTCCTTGCTATCTACTGACACAAGTGTTGTTGTGTCTCGTATTCCATCATAATCTTTCACTAGATATGTCATACGTGCTCCGTCAATAACGACAACACATCTTCTTAAGTCATTTATAACACTAACTATGTCAATACCTTCTTCACTCATGTACTTATTTCTTCTCAAGTCCTTTAGTGTGAAAGTGTCTCTAAGTTCTATTTCAAGCAATTCATTTACATGTCCTTTGCAATACTTCTCTATAAAATATTTCTGTCGTTCTTTACTAAGTTTCTTAACAACTCTGAAGAACCATGTGTTTTGACTCAAACATCCTTCACAACTTCTCTCATTCATTCCTAGTTCTTTCATGTCATTATCTTCAACCTCTATGGTCTCATTGACTAAGGTCAAAGGGTTCTTAGTCATTGCTGGTCTTATCTGAAACAATGTTTGTGCAACAGGTTTAACTAGTTCAGCAACGTCCTTCCTTAATATGAATAGCTGTTTCCACTCATCTTTGCTAACAGTTCTTTCATAACCACTGACAGTAATGATTTCATTTGCTGACCTTAGACACTTATGTTCTATCATTTGTATTGCTTTTGTGTAAGGCTTTCGTGAGCATAGGTTGTATATGTCATTCCTGCAATGTTCATTCATGCCAATAGTACTAAATCCTTTCTTTGCTGTTGAATGCATAATATCCATTAGTTCCTGTGTTCGTATTGCTGTCTCATAAAATACAACAAGACCTTTGTCATCTATGACGTACTTACCGAAAACATTGCTTATATTCTTTAACCATGAAATAACATCCTCATTCATGCTGTCAAACATGAAGTAAGGTCTTACATACTCTTCACTTATAAGATACTCCACAAAGTACTTGTTAAGCTCTATGTCCTCGTGAGCGATTTCATTAGGTTTGATATTAGTTCCTTTTGTCATTGCTGTCATGTACTTCACTCTCATAGTTCCTTTCAATAGCGTAAAAATACTTCATTGTTTCATAACTGCTCTAAATTCTGTTCAAAATTCGTACAACATAACTTTTTATCATTAGTGAAAGAACATGAGCGAAACAACAACATCTAACATTACAGAAGAAGTCAATGACAATGCCGATGAAAACATTACAGAAGGAGCTAGTGAAAATATTGACGAGTTCGTTGATGAAATATCTGACGAAGCTGTTGAAATAACAGCTTATGGTAAGCATTCGTTTGAGTTCTACTACTATGTTGAGAATGAGGACGCATTCTATTATTATACAGGTCTTAACTATCGAAAACTTCATATAAACTTTACAAAAACAGGTGCTGCTTATGTTTGTATGATAGATACAGAAAACAAGAGAGTAATCTTATGCATAAACAAATTCAAACGCTTGTACGGCTTCATGTAGGACAAACATTATTTTTCAACACTAACGCCAACACATAGGACATACGTTCATGACTAACATTACTGTATAACATAAATGTTTTGTCATAGATTTCATCGTAAATGTTTTGTCATGATTTCATCGTACATGTTTTGTCAAGGTTTCTTCGTATATGCTTTGTCATGATTTAATCGTATATGTTTTGTCATGATTTCTTCATCGTATATGTTTTGTCATGACTTCTTCATCGTAAATGTTTTATCAAGACTTCTTCGTAATGAACGTATATGTTTTGTCAAGACTTCTTCGTATATGTTTTGTCATGACCTCATCGTAAATGTTTTGTCATGACCTCATCGTAAATGTTTTGTCATGATTTTATCGTAAATGTTTTGTCAAAACTTCATCGTATATGCTTTGTCAAGGTTTCTTCGTAAATGTTTTGTCAAGGTTTCTTCGTATATGTTTTGTCAAGACTTCTTCGTATATGTTTTGTCAAGACTTTTTCGTATATGTTTTGTCAAGACTTCTTCGTATATGTTTTGTCATGATTTAATCGTATATGTTTTGTCATGACTTCTTCGTAATGAACGTATATGCTTTGTCAAGGTTTCTTCGTATATGCTTTGTCATGACCTCATCGTAAATGTTTTGTTATGACCTCATGGAACTTAAACGTAAATGTTTTGTTATGACCTCATGGAACTTAAACGTAAATGTTTTGTCATGACCTCATCGTAAATGTTTTGTCATGACCTCATGGAACTTAAACGTAAATGTTTTGTCATGACCTCATCGTAAATGTTTTGTCATGACCTCATCGTAAATGTTTTGTCATGACCTCATCGTAAATGTTTTGTTATGACCTCATCGTATATGTTTTGTGAAGAATATAGCAACCGCCGGAATTCAGACGGTTGCTTTTTATACAAAATTCACACAGGAAAATTCTTGAGTTTTGGTTGAAAGAATACGGTGGAGCCAAAAGTGGCTCGACCTCAAAACAAGCATTTTATGAGCTTACAAAGGGTGTTATGAATGAATTCAAAGGTATTTGCATACATCCTGACCTCGTTCATTTTGTTGTTGAATTCAGCAAAAATAATGTTTAGGGTAGATGGTTTTTAGGTGTCACTACGTCACCATGTGTCACCAGGTCATTTAACTTCTCTTAAAATTACTGACAACATGACATTTAGACAACAGTCCAAGAAATAAACTTCATCGTATATGTTTTGTCAAACATGAACGTATATGTTTTGTCAAAACTTCTTCATATATGTTTTGTCATGATTTCTTCATCGTAATGAGTGTAAATGTTTTGTCATGATTTCATCATCGTAATGAGCATAAATGTTTTGTCGAAACTTCATCGTACATGTTTTGTCAAACATGAACATAAATGTTTTGTCATAGATTTCATCGTACATGTTTTGTCAAATATGAACGTAAATGTTTTGTCAAGACTTCTTCGTAAATGTTTTGTCATAGATTTCATCGTATATTCTTTGTCAAACATGAACGTAAATGTTTTGTCAAGACTTCTTCATCGTAATGAGCGTATATGTTTTGTCAAGGTTTCTTCGTAAATGTTTTGTCATGATTTCATCGTAAATGTTTTGTTATGACCTCATCGTATATGTTTTGTCAAACATGAATGTAAATGTTTTGTCATGATTTAATCGTAATGAGTGTAAATGATTTCATATAATTGCTTACCTCGGAAAACCGAGAGAAGAGATTCCATATGAAAATCGCAAGAATTTGGCTCCTGGTTTGAAATATTATTATGTTCATAGACTTCATCGTATATGTTTTGTCAAACATGAACGTAAATGTTTTGTCATGACTTCTTCGTATATGTTTTGTCATGATTTCATCGTACATGTTTTGTCATGACTTCTTCGTATATGTTTTGTCAAGACTTCTTCGTACATGTTTTGTCATGACTTCTTCGTATATGTTTTGTCAAGACTTCTTCGTAAATGTTTTGTCAAGACTTCTTCGTAAATGTTTTGTCAAGGTTTCCTCGTACATGTTTTGTCATGATTTCATCGTTTATGATTTGTCAATACTTCTTCTTCGTATATGTTTTGTCAATACTTCTTCTTCGTATATGTTTTGTCAAGACTTCTTCGTAAATGTTTTGTCAAGACTTCTTCGTACATGTTTTGTCAAGACTTCTTCGTACATGTTTTGTCAAGACTTCTTCGTAATGAGCGTAAATCAGACAAAAATAAAGTTTATGTTAGCATGTTAGATCTAACACGTTTTCTAACCTCATTTCTAACATGGTCTAAAACACACAAAACTCATGAATTTTCGTGAATTTCCTTAAGATAGAAAAAATAAAGTTTATGTTAGCATGTTAGATCTAACACGTTTTCTAACCTCTTTTTTCACCTCATGAATTTTCATGATTTCATCGTACATGTTTTGTCAAGACTTCTTCGTAAATGTTTTGTCAAGACTTCTTCGTACATGTTTTGTCAAGACTTCTTCGTAAATGTTTTGTCAAACATGAACGTATATGTTTTGTCAAGACTTCTTCGTAAATGTTTTGTCAAGACTTCTTCGTAATGAGCGTAAATCAGACAAAAATAAAGTTTATGTTAGCATGTTAGATCTAACACGTTTTCTCACCTCTTTTCTCACCTCATGAATTTTCATGATTTCATCGTATATGTTTTGTCATGATTTCATCGTATATGTTTTGTCATGATTTCATCGTAAATGTTTTGTCATGACTTCTTCGTATATGTTTTGTCATGACTTCTTCGTATATGTTTTGTCATGACTTCTTCGTACATGTTTTGTCAAGACTTCTTCGTAAATGTTTTGTCATGACTTCTTCGTATATGTTTTGTCAAGACTTCTTCGTAAATGTTTTGTCAAGACTTCTTCGTACATGTTTTGTCAAGACTTCTTCGTATATGTTTTGTCATGACTTCTTCTTCGTAATGAACGTAAATCAGACAAAAATAATGTTTAGGTGAAGTGGTGAGATCTCACCTGTTTTCTCACCTCTTTTCTCACCTCATGAATTTTCATGATTTCTTCGTACATGTTTTGTCATGACTTCTTCGTATATGTTTTGTCATGACCTCATCGTAAATGTTTTGTCATGACCTCATCGTAAATGTTTTGTCATGACCTCATCGTAAATGTTTTGTTATGACCTCATCGTATATGTTTTGTGAAGAATATAGCAACCGCCGGAATTCAGACGGTTGCTTTTTATACAAAATTCACACAGGAAAATTCTTGAGTTTTGGTTGAAAGAATACGGTGGAGCCAAAAGTGGCTCGACCTCAAAACAAGCATTTTATGAGCTTACAAAGGGTGTTATGAATGAATTCAAAGGTATTTGCATACATCCTGACCTCGTTCATTTTGTTGTTGAATTCAGCAAAAATAATGTTTAGGGTAGATGGTTTTTAGGTGTCACTACGTCACCATGTGTCACCAGGTCATTTAACTTCTCTTAAAATTACTGACAACATGACATTTAGACAACAGTCCAAGAAATAAACTTCATCGTATATGTTTTGTCAAACATGAACGTATATGTTTTGTCAAAACTTCTTCATATATGTTTTGTCATGATTTCTTCATCGTAATGAGTGTAAATGTTTTGTCATGATTTCATCATCGTAATGAGCATAAATGTTTTGTCGAAACTTCATCGTACATGTTTTGTCAAACATGAACATAAATGTTTTGTCATAGATTTCATCGTACATGTTTTGTCAAATATGAACGTAAATGTTTTGTCAAGACTTCTTCGTAAATGTTTTGTCATAGATTTCATCGTATATTCTTTGTCAAACATGAACGTAAATGTTTTGTCAAGACTTCTTCATCGTAATGAGCGTATATGTTTTGTCAAGGTTTCTTCGTAAATGTTTTGTCATGATTTCATCGTAAATGTTTTGTTATGACCTCATCGTATATGTTTTGTCAAACATGAATGTAAATGTTTTGTCATGATTTAATCGTAATGAGTGTAAATGATTTCATATAATTGCTTACCTCGGAAAACCGAGAGAAGAGATTCCATATGAAAATCGCAAGAATTTGGCTCCTGGTTTGAAATATTATTATGTTCATAGACTTCATCGTATATGTTTTGTCAAACATGAACGTAAATGTTTTGTCATGACTTCTTCGTATATGTTTTGTCATGATTTCATCATACATGTTTTGTCATGACTTCTTCGTATATGTTTTGTCAAGACTTCTTCGTACATGTTTTGTCATGACTTCTTCGTATATGTTTTGTCAAGACTTCTTCGTAAATGTTTTGTCAAGACTTCTTCGTAAATGTTTTGTCAAGGTTTCCTCGTACATGTTTTGTCATGATTTCATCGTTTATGATTTGTCAATACTTCTTCTTCGTATATGTTTTGTCAATACTTCTTCTTCGTATATGTTTTGTCAAGACTTCTTCGTAAATGTTTTGTCAAGACTTCTTCGTACATGTTTTGTCAAGACTTCTTCGTACATGTTTTGTCAAGACTTCTTCGTAATGAGCGTAAATCAGACAAAAATAAAGTTTATGTTAGCATGTTAGATCTAACACGTTTTCTAACCTCATTTCTAACATGGTCTAAAACACACAAAACTCATGAATTTTCGTGAATTTCCTTAAGATAGAAAAAATAAAGTTTATGTTAGCATGTTAGATCTAACACGTTTTCTAACCTCTTTTTTCACCTCATGAATTTTCATGATTTCATCGTACATGTTTTGTCAAGACTTCTTCGTACAATGTTTTGTCAAGACTTCTTCGTAATGTTTTGTCAACTGTCAACGTACATGTTTGTCAAGACTTCTTCGTAAGTTTTGTCAAACATGAACGTAATGTTTTGTCAAGACTTCTTCGTAAATGTTTTGTCAGACTTTTCGTAATGAGCGTAAATCAGACAAAAATAAAGTTTATGTTAGCATGTTAGATCTAACACGTTTTCTCACCTCTTTTCACCTCATGAATTTTCATGATTTCATCGTATATGTTTTGT